GTCCTTTGTTGAATATGCCATTATATGCACATAGACCAAAGTGAGTGACAAAGGCTCTTTAGAGCCTCTAGTTTTATTGGATTTTGATGGGCATTTATTTTTCTTCCTGTAAATGTAAGGAATGCCTCAAACATGTTAAATTACCAGTAAAATATCCATGTTTTTGTGTACAAACTACAATACTCTGTATTTATGCATCTGTATGTTTAAGTATAATTTTACTTCAATTCTATGCTATATATTTAAAATGTATACACAAGTATTACATAAATAAAAATGTGTTACTAAATTCCTACATTATTTGCAAACAAAATGGATAATTATTATAATCGAAAATTGAATCTGAGCAAGCAGCTGCAAGCTTGCTATCCAATTATTCTAATTAATCTATAATATTTTTTTTCAGCCAATTGGCAATTCCCAACACTAATGTATATTTATTTATTTCATGTACTTGAAGCTTTGCAATTATTTGTTTAGGTGTACAAACAAGGATCCGTAAATCATGTAAATTTTTTCATACAATTTCAGTCATTTTGAAATGACTAAAAAGTTTGGGTCCTTTTTTATACCAATTTTGTGGTCGTATATTGGTATGACGTTGGCGTCGTCGTCGTCATCGTCCAAAGACACATTGGTTTTCGCACTCTAACTTAAGTTTAAGTGAATGGATCTCTATGAAATTTTACCATAAGGTTCAATACCACAAAAGGAAGGTTTGGATTGATTTTGGGTTTTATGGTACCAACAGTTAAGGAATTAGGGGCCAAAAATAAGCATTATTTGTAACTTCCAGACATAACTTGTGTGTTAGTGTATGGATCTCTCTGACATTGTACCACAAGGTTCCATATCACAAAGGGAATGTTTGGATTGATTTTGGGGGTAATTGCCTCAAAATTTTAGGAATTAGGGGCCAAAAAAAGGGCAAAAAACAAGCATTTTTCTAGTTTCATGACAATAACTTGTGTGTAAGTGTATGGATCTTTCTGAAATTGTACTACAAGGTTCCATATCACAAAGGGAAAGCTGGAATTGAGTTTGTGGGTAATTGCGCAAAACGTTTAAAAATAAGGGGCCAAAAATAAGCATTTTTCTAGTTTCCAGACAATAACTTGTGTTCAAGTGTATGGATCTCTCTGAAATTATACTGCAAGGTACCATACCACAAAGGGAAGGCTGGGATTGATTTTGGGGGTAATTGCCTCAAAATTTTAGGAATTAGGGGCCTAAAAAGGGGCAAAAACAAGCATTTTTCTAGTTTCAGGACAATAACTTGTGTGTAAGTGAATGGATCTTTATGAAATTGTACTACAAGGTTCCATATCTCAAAGGGAAAACTGGGTTTGAGTTTGGAGGTAATTGCCCTAATTGTTTAGGAATATGGGGCCAAAAAACAAGCATTTTTCTAGTTTCCAGACAATAACTTAGTGTTCAAGTGTATGGATCTCTCTGAAATTGTACTGCAAGGTACCATACCTCAAAGGTAAGGCTGGGATTGAGTTTGGGGGTGATGAATCATAAAGGGGTTCAAAAAATTTGGGGGGGATTTTTTTTTCCTTTTTTTTTCTTTAAAATTTTCCATTTTAAATTGGCTATTTCTGATTTATATATAAAAGCAAATAATAATGATATGGTTTGAATAGGTAAATTAAAAATTTATAAGTTCTTAGACCACATTCATTCTGTGTCAGAAACCTATGCTGTGTCAAATATTTAATCACAATCCAAATTCAGTGCTGTATCGAGCTTGAATGTTGTGTCCATACTTGCCCCAACTGTTCAGGGTTCATCCTCTGCGGTCGTATCAAGCTGCACCCAGCAGAGCATTTTATTCAAACTGTCAAAATAATTCATAGATTCATGGCATCAACAAACTTTTTTTGATGGTTTCACCGCTTTTACTTCATGAAGTTTCTTACAGTTTCTCTCATAACATTAAGGAATGATTTATGGAAGCAAAAGTTTGAAATTGAAATGATTTTAATGTAAAATAGTAAATATTTCAAGAATTGCTAACTCTGCTTTTCCATTTTGAAGTAGAAAAAAAAATCGGAAGTTTCAAGGTAATTTACGAGTGCATGTGATTTACAGGATTCATTTTGTTTATCAAATGAGAGGAAATCATCATATTTTTTATTTTGTTACCTGTCAGTCAGGGGTACTACTTATACAAGTTATTTTTATTTATTTGAAGAAGTAAATAATAATATACTTATATAAGTAAATATGTTATATCCATATTTTCTGATAAGGTTTGAATAATCTCCCTTTAATTTTCTCAAAAAAATTTACTTGTTAAGTATTGGCTATTTCTGATTTATATATAAAAGCAAATAATAATGATATGGTTTGAATAGGTAAATTAAAAATTTATAAGTTCTTAGACCACATTCATTCTGTGTCAGAAACCTATGCTGTGTCAAATATTTAATCACAATCCAAATTCAGTGCTGTATCGAGCTTGAATGTTGTGTCCATACTTGCCCCAACTGTTCAGGGTTCATCCTCTGCGGTCGTATCAAGCTGCACCCAGCAGAGCATTTTATTCAAACTGTCAAAATAATTCATAGATTCATGGCATCAACAAACTTTTTTTGATGGTTTCACCGCTTTTACTTCATGAAGTTTCTTACAGTTTCTCTCATAACATTAAGGAATGATTTATGGAAGCAAAAGTTTGAAATTGAAATGATTTTAATGTAAAATAGTAAATATTTCAAGAATTGCTAACTCTGCTTTTCCATTTTGAAGTAGAAAAAAAAATCGGAAGTTTCAAGGTAATTTACGAGTGCATGTGATTTACAGGATTCATTTTGTTTATCAAATGAGAGGAAATCATCATATTTTTTATTTTGTTACCTGTCAGTCAGGGGTACTACTTATACAAGTTATTTTTATTTATTTGAAGAAGTAAATAATAATATACTTATATAAGTAAATATGTTATATCCATATTTTCTGATAAGGTTTGAATAATCTCCCTTTAATTTTCTCAAAAAAATTTACTTGTTAAGTATTTTTTTTTTTTACAATCCCCAAAATTCTCAAGTTTTGGGCTTAAACAATTTTTCTCTTGTTAGCTCTTAATTTTTGAATAGAGTTCAATATTTCATCTCATTAACAGTCTTCAGGCTTAACCTCAAGTCCTACGGCCCAGGCTTGTAAAATTGCTTTCAGGCTTGTTAATTATGCCTCCGCCAAAGCGGAGGGAGCATTAAGTTTTACCCTTGTCCGTCTGTATGTCCGTCCGTACGTCCCAAAATTGGTTTCCGTTCTCTAACTTAAGTTTGCCTCAACCAAATGTTATCAAACTTATACATAATGTTTATTACCACAAAATACAGATCAAGTTAGAATTTTGGTGACGTCACTTTAACCGTTCTAGAGTTATGCCCCTTTATAAATGGAAAAATTGCAAAATTTTTCATTTTCGTTCTCTAACTTAAGTTTGCCTCATCCAAATGTTATGAAACTCATACACAATGCTTATTACCACAATACACAGATCAAGTTTAGGTTTTGGGGGCATCACTTTTAATGTTCTAGAGTTTTGCCCCTTTACAAATGGAAAAATTGCTAAATTTTTCTTTTTTTTTCTCTACAAGCCAACAGAATCCAACTAAAATTTTACAAAAATGGAGCTTCAGGGTTGTGGACTCAAAAAGTTTATCGTGAAGGCTGCATTAATTCAACAAAGGAACTAATTGCGCAAAGATCTTAAGTAATTGCACAAGGCCTTCAAAAATTGCCTTGTAAATCAGCAGTGTTTTCAAGATAACAGACAAATGAGATTATCATTGTCCATGAAATTACACTTAAATGATTAGTAAAGACATCTGCAAAGGACAGACAATTAAAAATTCTATTAGAGCAAAGAAGTCCTGGGAAATTCAAGAAAAGAAGATACATGTAGTATGACTTTTTTACTTTTTTAGTAAAAAAATCTGAATGCCTAAGGGACATAACTAAGCCTTTTAAATAATTAACCTATACAAAAAAATAAAATACACTTGCATAAGTATCTTACAAACTTACTTATATAAGTATATTAATATTTTCTTCTTCAAGTAAATAAAAATAACTTGTACAAGTAGTACCCCTGACTGCCTGTTAAAGTGTTGAATATAACTTATCATGCTTATAACTGAATATAACTTATCATGCTTTTAATGGTTTCACTCGTTTAATTGAGCATGCAATCATTTTACATTTTACGACTTAGTGTCTAATCTGGAGAAGACAATATTCCTGATGCATGCTTATTACATAGTAAGTAATGTTTGACTCTTGAAAAATTATCGTTTTTTGCGTAAATTAATAAAAGTTTTAACTTTTAAATCAGAATTGGCGATTGTCTTTATTAAATAATTATTATAATAAGTAATAATGATTTGTCATGGTCAATGGAATAGAATTTCTTTATAATATTGGCATGATTAGTTCATGTAGTTCTGAGGTTGATCACTTCTGTCAGGTGCGAAAAAACTCAGGTAAAAAAAGGATTAGCAAATCATTAATCAATATCTCCCAGAGGCATTCATATGATTATTGAGAGGGCCCTTAGAATTATCATACTATACTCAAGTGGAAGTTTGATAACTGGAAAAGCATTTCTAAACAAAAATAAGGTCAAATTGGCATCCCAATGAAATGACCGAAATTATTTCTGTAACTGTAAAAAAAATTGGACCTAAATCCCAATCTGCCATTTCTGACAGATTTGGCAATATGGTTTGGCCTTTCAGTTTCGGCCATGTTTGGCAAATATGTCTGTTTCTTGGCCCTTGTGTACAAATGTATTTTTATCATATTCAGAATGCTATTCATTTATAGTTTGTTCAGAAAACAAATGATTATGTAACGAACAAAAGATATAACTAATAATACATCATTTATGCCATTGTACATTGTCAAGATTGTAGGTTTTAAAAACAGTAAGAATATGGTACCTTTAATATACAGTGTAATTAACGTTGGCAGTTTCAATATCTTTCCAGGTTTAAAGATGTCGTCCAGAACACACTTTGGTGTTGTTGATCAGGCTATGAAGTCTATGAAGACTGTTGAAGAATACATCAAAGTTGGTATGGAAACAACTCTAGATGTTGGTATGGACTTTGTTGAACATGACAAAGGTAACTGTCAGAGCTGTTATAATCCAACACTAAATATATTTACTGATATATAACATTAACGGTACCAATTTTTCTTCACCAGATACGCATTTCTACAATAAATGCCAAAATATTTGAAAATCCAAAACTTATTTAAATAAAGTGAAGAGCTAATAGACCAAAAAGGACAAAAAGTATAGCCCAAGCCAGGCAAGGAAATAGAGCTGTTACTGTATATTTCAGACAATCCTTTCATGAAAACTAGACACTTTATAATGCCAACAAAACTTTCTATCTTAACATGATTCAATTTTGACAATATACCTGACACAGCTGTATTTGACAGTATGCCCGACACAGCTGTATTTGATACATGTAGGTCACCTGACACATCTGTAATGTCATGAATGTTTACAACAAAGACAAAAGTTTGCACTGACAAATATAATTTTGCAGTGGTGTCATTGTTTTGGTTGAAGCATAATCATGACATTTGAAAATAAAATTGCAATTTTCATCCTTTGGTCCCTTTGTCAACATATATTTCTTCTTCCTAACAGAACTTGAAACTTAGTTATAAACAATACTATAATATCTTGTTCTGTTGGAACAAATATTCTATACCCTTTACTCCAGAAACTTTTTCCATGAAATAGGATGTGCAAACAATGACAACAACAATCAACACATGGTCCTAACAGCCCTTATTGGGGTTAAGCCAGTTATAATTGTGGTGAAACCTCCCCTTGTTTATTACTTTTTTTAATTAAATGATAAATTTTAGCACCCATTTTATTATTTTCCAGACAATGAGAAACAAATAGATGAGCTGAGATCTGTGATGAAAGACTATGTTAGAATGGAAAGAGATCTTCAGCAATTTATGGAAGCTGTTGAATGTGTCAAATCTACTGTATGTGCTGAGTTATATTCCCTAGAATGAGGAATAGTGAGAGTATAATTATCCCTGTCTGCTTTTGAACAACACTAAATCTGACAACACAATGTTCATTCCCCTTGGTCCTGAAAGCTTGTCATAGCTATTCCCGATACATTTGTACTACCTATTCTTCTTCCATATCAGGCAATTTTTATTGGGGTAAGATTGCATTCATGCAATCAAAAGCCTTATGTGGCTGACTTGATAGTTATCAATATTCCAAACTTTATCACCACTTTTGAGATAAACAAAATATTGTGCATTGAATACAACATTCTTTACATCTATCATGAACATTTCAAGAACTAAATCAATAAAAGATATACTCAAATATTCAAGTTACAGAATGATGTGTATGTGTATAACCATACTTATCAAGAAAATACATATGATATATTGTGCATGGTGCATAAATCTAGTATCTCTTCTAAAAATGTCAATGATGTCATTGTTAATGTAATATTTAAAAATTGGAGTTATCTTCCTTTGTCCATAGTTATAGATGAACCAATTCACAGAATTGCCTTCCAATGATTTATACATTGCAATGTTTGATGTTAAGTTCCCAATGCAAAATGAATGCAGTCTTTACCCTTCAGTGTTCACAAGCACTTTGATTGTAAACTTTGAAGTTAGATTTGTCTGAAGAACCCGTGTGTTCCATTTTTGTTTGCCTTGACGGAGTCAAAAAGCGAGACATAGGTATGCTGTTTCCGGCGGCGGTGGCAGCGGCGTCAACAATGTATTAGTTTGTGATTAGGTCTAGTTCATGGTGAACCACTAGTTGTAGGTCAATGATATTTGGTATGCAGTTGTATTAGCATTGGCACATCTCATTACCATGGAGATTATTTGGCCCTGCCCCCTCAGTCAAGGTCTATTGACTTTGAAACTTTTCATAGTGTATTAGTTTGTGATTAGGTCATTTTATGGGGAACCACTAGTGGTAGGTCAATGATATTTGGTATGCAGTTGTATAAGCATTGGCATATCTCATTTCCATGGAGATTATTTGGCTCTGCCCCCTTAGTCATGGTCTATATACTTTGAAAATTTTGCTAAGTTAACATGTATTAGTTTGTGATTAGGTCAGTTCAAGGGGAAGCATTAGTGGTAGGCCAATGTTAATTGGTGTTCAGTTGAATAAGCATTAGCACATCTCATTTCCATGGAGAATATTTGGCCCCGCCCCCTCAGTCATGGTCTATTGACTTTGAAACTTTTGCTTAGTTTACATGTATTAGTTTGTGATTACATCAGTTTAAGATGAACTGCTAATATTAAGTCAATGATATTTGGTATGCAAATGTATTGGCATTTGCAAGTATTGTTTCCATGGAGATTATATATCCCCACCCCTGATCATGGTTCAATGACTTTGAACCTTTACATAGTTTACAAGTTAATGTTTGTGTTTAGGTTTGTTTAAAGGGAACGACTTATAATAAGTCAATGGTATTTGGTATGCAATTGTATTAGCATTGGTACATCTCATTCCATGGAGATTGTTTAGCCATGTACCTTCAGTCATGGTTCATTGACTTTGCATATTTACATAACTTACATGTCAAAGTATTGCTATTTTAATTTCAACATTTGCATTATCAAAATTACTAAAAGGCGAGACATATCTCTGTGATAACCGTTTATTATCATCTCTACTCAGAATTAAACACTTTCAAATAATTTTTCTTTTTAATTCTTCTCCTGGATCCTGCAGGCCTTTCAGGATCAAACTTGAATGACTTATCCTTATTGGCTCTCCTTTAAGGGTTTAAAAAATTTGGAAATTTTACTAGACGCGGTGTATCTGGTGAAAATGGAAGTTTTACCAGTGTACCAGACCTTATAAAAGTTTAAGTGTATTCAGTTAAAGGCTTACAAAAAATTTCTCTTTGTTTATTCTTAAGATTTTGATACTGATTCAATTTTGATATACATGTTTTCTGCAGTTTGGTCGGGTTGTTGTCTCTTTGACACCTTCCCCATTTCCATTTTCCATTTTATTTTATTTTACTATAGAAATGTGCAAAGAAAATATACCTTCCCAACTTGCTGTTAGAGTTATACATGTTTTCTGCTCTTTGGTCGGGTTGTTGTCTCTTTGACACATTCCCTATTTCCATTCTCAATTTTATTTTATTCTACTATAGAAATGTGCAAAGAAATATACCTTCCCAACTTACTGTTAGAGTTATTTCAGTTAAAAATTTGAAATATGAAAACACAAAAAATCATTTTTGTCTCGCCTGTGACGAAAGTCGCAGGATGATTACAATTGTCAATCAGCAACAACATAAACTATTTGTATTAAGCTTTATATTTCAGAAGGTAGAAGAAATGGATGATTCATACCTTGTATACAGATATCTTATGTTACAAATTTCCATCTGTCATATATGTCCATTGTCCGTGACCTCATTTGAATTTCATGGTTCAGTGACTGCTTAAAAAAGAATTAAAGATTTTTGTCCAGTGACATACTCTGACACTTATTATGAGTAATGGAGTAACTATATTTGGTTTATGGGTTCCTTGCAACGTCTACATATCCATGAGGTTAGGTTCACATGTCCTCAACCCCATTTCATGGATCAGTGATCTCTGAAACTATTGTGCAAAATTGGAACCAAGCTTTGCTACAATTTTCATTGGGTTATCTAGTTTAAAATGCTGGCTTAAAATAGAACATAGTGAAAATAGCAAGTTTTGTTTATTATTTTGAAAACTGCTATAGATAATGAAAAATCTAACTGGATCCTAAATTTTCAGAATGTTTAGATATACCTACTTTCCATTAAATGACAAATTTTACCATGATTTTCTTTTTGCTTAATTGCTTGAAAACTAAAATAGATAGACAGAAACTTTAAATAGCAAACATGATCAGCAAGACGAGATTTACAAAAATAAACCAAAATGGCCGAAATTTTCAGTCAACTCATTATTACCCTTTAATAATGATTTTTAATATTTTTTTTTTATAAAAACCTGTGGTCAGGGAATTCATTTGATTTCTGGATTATACTGCTTTTATTAATTTAGTTTGGATATATATATGCATTCCATTTAAGGTACAGTCAAGCATTTGTATTTAAAGAAAAGTTTGCAAACAATTTTTACATTTCAATTTGACGAAACTGATCGTTCATTGAATGTTACCTTGTTCAACCACGTTAGACAATATAAACAATGCAATCAGCTGTCAATGTACGGGTATTCACACCATTAAACACTAATTAGATTTCTTAATTGCTACTGACATGATAATGAGGAACATGTATGATAATTGGATTAGGGATACCCGGAATTTAAATATTTCAATCTATTGAATTTGCAAGTGTGGCGGACAATAAAATGAGCGTGGTGCTTTGAATTTTAGCGTGGTGCTAGGAATTTAAGCATGGCGGTGCTTAAATAGGTCATGGTGATCCCTGACAATTATAAGGTACCTGTCAATATAGTACAAGGTTTGTTCAAATCTAAATTTTCATTGTATTAAAGCGTTTACAATGGGGCATAGGTTTAAAATAATTTGATAATAATTTACTGGTACATATTTATTTTCAGGCAACAAAGAAAAACGAACCCTTGGATTTGGAGAAAGAATTAGATAATAAATTGTTGGAACTTAAGCAAGCAAACAAGGATGCAGAACTGACACAGCATGAGAAATATGTGGATCTTATTGACAAAGTTAATGAAATGCAACAGCCAGGTAATGGTTTGATTAGAAATAGACTATTGCTAGTTTAAGCAAGAAATATACCAGTAATGCATTTTATTCTAAATCATAATTGTATCAAATTTAACAAAATATTTGAAATTATAGCTAACTATCATCCTTTTTGATGTAAGTGATTAACTACATTGATGAGTACAAAAAAATCCAAGTGTTAGTATTGTACTTGCTGTTGGTTTTGGAATGTCCTGTGCCATCTTTGATGAACTCTTTTCTAAAATCAATGCACTTTCCCGAATGATGCCCTGTGCCCTTTTTAAGACTCCCTGCCCTTTTTTTGTAAGTCCATACCTTTATTGTCGTTATATTTTGATGAAAATACTATAATGCTACCTGTCTTCATATTTCTGACAAGTTTATGACCCTCAGGGGGGGGGGGGGAAGAAATTGTGAGGGGGGACAATTTCTTCTCATTTCAGATTTCAGAAATTAAAAAGAAAATTTCTTCAAATTTTTTTTTTTGGGGGGGGGAAAAAGAAATTGTGAATTGTGAGGGGGGACAATTTCTTCTCATTTCAGATTTCAGAAATTAAAAAGAAAATTTCTTCAAATTTTTTTTTTGGGGGGGGAAAAAAGAAATTGTGAATTGTGAGGGGGGACAATTTTTTCTCATTTCAGATTTCAGAAATTGAAAAGAAAATTTCTTCAAATTTTTTTTTTAGGGGGGGGGGGGGGGAAAGAAATTGTGAGGGGGGACAATTTCTTCTCATTTCAGATTTCAGAAATTAAAAAGAAAATTTCTTCAAATATTTTTTTGGGGGGGGGGGGGGGGGGGGGGGGGTCAATTCGCAACAGCATAGTGTATTGCACAAAAGCGAAAAAATTGAATATAAATTCAAATCATATAAAACCAATTCTAAGTTCTTTGACTACAGTTTTTCTGTGTCAGAAACCTATTATGTGTCAAATATTTAATTACAATCCAAATTCAGACCTGTATCAAGCGCGAATATTGTGTCCATTTTTGCCCCAACTGTTCAGGGTTGGACCTCTGCGGTCGTATCCAGCTGTGCTCGGCGAAGCAATTTATTAAGAAAGAGGAACCCAACTTTTGTTGATCAGGATGTCCCCCTGCAAATAACTGAATTTGTGAACTAGATTTCCAGATCCTTGTTCTAATCTTCATATTTAAGCATCACACCAGTCAAATCATGCCATGACTGCCTACATTTGTAGCATGCCTAAGGCCTTCAAAGATACTGGTCCTTGAAGGACTTGGGCATATGTATAGCTAGTTATATACGTCCTTGGTCCCTCACTGTTCCCAAAAATAAGGTTGATTTTCATCTCGCGTAAAAGTGACTTATGCCCTCAAACTCCTAGCTGAAACCCCTGCTTTTTACATAAGACAATCAGTGTGCTAAAGTGCCCTTTTCATGATTGACTCCCTGCCCTTTTGAAATCCTTGCTGGACCACTTAGTTATGGTCCATCTACTTTCAATTAATAAGCAATTTTGGGGTAAAGATTGCATGAAATGCAATCAAAACCCTATGGTACTGACTTGATATCTATATCATCCAAGGTTGATCACTACCTTTGATAGTTCAAACAAAATAGTGCAGTGAAGTGATCATTATTTAGATTTTATCCAGTCAAAGTCATGCAATTTATTGATGATATGTTATACTTTGATATTTTAAATGCAATATGACGTGTATTTGAATTTTACCATACTTGTGAAGAAAACATTTTTTTATGAAAAATTACAGAATTAATGCATGGTGTATGAATCTGCTATAAAAAATAGGTTCAACTACAAATGTACAATCATGAACAAAGGAAGATAACTCCAACTCAAATTTTTAACTTGCCTAGCAAAATAATTCAATGTTTTATTTAAAAATTCACAAAATTGCAAAATGAAAGCAATCTTTACCCTTCAGTGCTCACAAGCACTTTGATTAATTAATCGTTCTCCCTATGATTCTGAAGTAGTGTGAGCTCTGACAGTCCGGCTCTGATTACATAAATGAATAGGATAGAAATGGGAAGATACAGGTGCCACATTTGGGGCAGGATCTGCTTACCCTTCCAGAGCACTTGAGATCACCCCCAGTTTTTGGTTGGGTTCGTGTTGCTCAGTCTTTAGTTTTCTATGTTGTGTTTTGTATACTGTTGTTTGTCTTTTGGTCTTTTTCTTTTTTACCATGGCATTGTCAGTTTATTTTCAACTTATGAGTTTGAATGCCCCTTTGGTATCTTTCGCCTCTCTCCTATTCATCATACATTCTTGTACATAATTACAAATTCATTTTATGGCTAAGAATACCAATTCAGCTGTCTCAGTTTATGTCTAAAATTGCCATTTATAGTTACACAATTATATTTTTCCACTTGTCAGGAATTACCAACTAAATATGTTGCAGATTTAAAGAAAAAGATGATATCATTTATCAATTAAAGGTCAAGGAGGAAAACTAATCTGTTTATGCTACGCATTGTTTCTCAATAAAAAAATTGATAACTTTAATAAATTTAAAAAACTCTAATCAATTAATTGAAACAATGCAACTGCATGAAATATTTAGTGAATCTAACCAACTGTCTTTTAACAATGTTTAATTTATATGTTGAATGCATATTTTTCAATTTTGGAATCATTAATTGTTGTGTCAGCTGAGCCATGCATGCTTGTAATTATTACCTTAAGAAAACAGATTTCGGTCATTGTTGGTCAAGCTCTGATTCATGGTTAGTATAGATTTAACGAAAGGCAATTAAAATTATGTTTTCATGAAGGAACAAATTTATTTGGATGCAAACCAGAATCTTTGGATGTATGCTCAATTTGTTTGCATAAATATGTGTGCCTTTGAAATAACATACAACCCATCTACAGAAACCATGAATTTTCTTCCTTATAAATGAAAAATTGACATTAGAGTAACTTGAAAAAATGGAAATTTACGAACGTCAAAAGCGACTGTTGCATACACCTGGGTGACTAGATATCACTTTTGGGGTCAAGAAAAGCCATGTGACAAAAGGCAAAGCGGCTTTTTTAGCCCTTGATCCCCAGTAGTGTGAGCCCTGGTTAACTGTCATAATGTGTAATTGATACAATCCTATTAGAAATATAGAATATGATAATAATTTACTTACCTATTTCAGATTGTGTATTCTGTGGTTTGTACAGTTTGATTTTATCAATGTGTGTCTATCTTCACTCTGTTTTGTGATGGTTCAGACTTTTTCTGCAATGGTTGAAAATTCTAATGATAATACCAGGTGTCTAATTATATATAATGGATCTATTCTTTATCTCAGGTCTATGATGAAGAATTTTGTATGATTGAAATCCTGTGTTGACATTACACAACATCATGTGAACTCATTCCTCACACGCAAAATTTGCCTCAGCAAGATAATAATACATGTATATTTGTAGATATTTAAGTAATTTATTTTATTTTTGAGTGACATGTTTGATTTTTGAATTAAACTCCTTATTTGAGAAACCTTTCTATGATAAAATCTACAACTTTTTACAATTCTTCTTATCTCAGAAACTTATGGTGGTTTGATATGATTTCGAGCACAAGGGTCCGGAAATGGTCATATTTGCCAGTCATGACCTAAACTGAAATTATTTGTCCTAAACAAAAAATTGGGATTTAGGACAAATTTTTATTATTTTATAGAAATAATTTCGGTCATTTCATTGAGATCAGGTTTCTTAATCACCATTTTGCACTTGTGATCATATAATCCCTTTCCTATAATAAAACTGCCACTCCAGTTAGGTCTGATAATCCTGAGGGCCCTTCTAATAACTATATTAATGCCTCTGTGAAATATTGGCTAATGATCGCTAATCACTTTTTACCTGTGTTTTTAATTCACACACATTGATCACAAGCTCAGAACACATATTATAAAGAAATTAAAATTCCATGACAACTGTATTCATTATTTATTACTTTCAGCAAAGACAATCATCAATTCTGATTTAAAAATTAAAAACTTAATTTAATTTATGTAGAATAAGGTAATTTTTCACGAGTAACACATGTGCTTTATTTATTATGTAATATGCATGCGTGAAGTTGTCTTCAGCAGATTAGACATTTAATTGTAAAATGCAAAATGATTTAATGCTTTATTAAACGAGTGCAACTATTATCTGTTATATTAAAACACTTTTAAAGGTAATAAAATTAAAAAGCCGGTGATTTCCTGTCAATTTGATAAACAAAACGAATCCCGGAAATGAATCCAGAATTATTCGTACTTTAGTATTGTCGCAAAACTTTCGGTTTTCATTTTGACTTCAAAATCGAAAGAAACATTATTTAAGTCTGAGAAATTAACCATTTTAGTCATTAAAATCATTTCAATTTTAAACCATTGCCTTCCCAAAACTGTTCTTGAACGTTTTTAGAAAAAATGGTAAGAAATTTCACGAAGTAAATGCAATGAACAGTCAATACAAGTTGTTTGATGCTATGAATCTAGTGTGATATCGACAATTTAAAAAAAAGGCACCAACTTTTAATTCATCTCAAAATGACCGAAATTGTGTGAAAAATTTCTGGATCCTTGTTCGAGCACCTTGGTACTGTCTGTTTACACATACAAACCCACAGCCGTTTGTCATCGATATATTCATATGAATAACTGTACATATGTATAAGAGTTTTGTGACTTAATCATGTTAATGATGAAAAACTTGTCCCTTCTGTAAAGTTTTCCTGTAATACAGAAAAGAAATAAATATTTTCTAACCTCTTAAAAAAATTCTGTTCTGTTTTTTAAAAGTTTGGTCGTTAAAAGAAATGAATGTTTTTTTTTAAAAACAGCAACGTTACAACTTATAAATGTACCTTTTAATCCTTTATAGGGGTCAAACTGTGACTTAGAATTTTCTCTTTGATTTTGACACTTTAATAAACAATTACTTTCAGTAATATGATAATAAAAAATGTTAGGTTATACATTTCTTTTTTCTTCACTGTTTCAATAATTAGTGTATATAAAACTACAATTGTTTGCAATATTTTGTTTCAGAAGGATCCTATGCTGGTCCAGCCACATCAACTCAGATTGATGAGGATATTGCCATGACACAGCCAGAGGTCAACACACGCTGTCCATATACAGGCAAAGATATGATTAATCCTGTCAAAAACTCCTATTGTGGTCATCACTATGATAAAGAGGGAATCAGTCATTATATCAAAATAAAGGGACGCAAAGCAAAGTAGGTCCATCAGAATTTGTGTGAAAAAGTGCTGTCTTTAAAATAATGTTATATTAGTCTAGTGTGGATTCATTATGATTTGTGGAATACCAACTTTTGTTTATTTTATGGGTATTGGTTAGCCATGAAATTTTAATGTTCAACAAAGTTTATATTTTATATAGGCCCATCATAGTGACTTTTGCAAAACCATCAAATCAAATATCCACGAAAATAAATGAATCCACAGTATTCCACAAAGGACCTAATGAATGTGAGAATTGTTTACCTTAGTCTAGGTAAAAACAAAAGCTTTCGAAAGTTGTATTTCATCACACATCTAGTGTAGAAAATGGTCAGTCATGTAATGGAAGTTTCAAATAATGGCATGCAGATTTACATTGTATTATTTAACCCCCCAAAAAAGAATGAAAAATGAAGTAGTTTTAACTGTATTTTATTAATATTCTGTTATGTGTTAGGAATGTACGATTTCAGAATTATCCATTGCTTATTTCTTGGCTTGTAACCATATTTATTTTCATGATGACAAAATTTAGATCATAACATCATGAAGTTTGTGAATTCAGTTGTGATTTGCCCTCATTACATAATCTAAAGAAGTTTGTTCATTTTTGAGTAATTTTTCTGAATTCTAATAACCAATGAATATATAATTTAGTACTTTTTGTATTTGATAGTGATTTTACTATCACACAAATGTATCATAAACCAAAAGTATTGAGATTCTATATTTCATGTGTATATAGAAATAAGAAGATGTGCTATAATTGCCAATGAGACAACTCTCCATCAGAGACCAAATGACGTAGAAGTTAACAACTATAGGTCACTACAGCCTTCAACAATGAGCAAAACCCATACCGCATAGAAAGCTATAAAAGGCCATAAAATGACAAATGTAAAACAATCCAAATGAGAAAACTAACAGCCTGATTTATATACAAAACAGTATAAATAGAAAAACAAATATGATATACAGCAAAAAACGGCTACCACTGAATTACAGGCTCGTGACTTGGGACGGGCACGATTAGATGTCTAGTATATGCTGTGTTCACAATTTATGTTTAGATATGTCCTGTTGGTTACCAAACAGTAATTAGTGTTTGCTATGTATTTTTAGATGTCCTGTGGGCGGTTGTGGAAATGACAAACCAATAGAACTCAGTGATTTGATTGAAGATAAAGATTTGAAAAAATTTATAGATAGGAAAAATAGACATAATAAGAAAAAGAATTGAAAAATCAATACATTCATAAAATTTAGAACCTGGCTTGTAATGATGATGAAGTTACCTGATGAATGGATGGAGACAGCTAACCGTAATAAAACTGTAATGAACATGACAATTACCTGTGAGCAGATAGAGATAAAACAGACATACTAGGAAAAGATAAAGACCATGTTGGTTACATGTTTTGTGTATAAATTAACAGCCAAATACATTGTTCTTACATTGTAACAAAACTAAAATCAGGGAAGATGTTGATATGTTGATATAATGAATTCTGTTAATCATGTTAATGTTAAATGTTTTTTTCTGGAGAAGGTCTTGAAGAAATTTTTAATTAAATCATTCAATATTTCTATTTTTTTTTTTGCCCCCGCCGTTGCGGTGGGGGCATTAAGTTTTACCCTTGTCCGTCTGTACGTCTGTCCGTCCGTACGTCCCAAAATTGGTTTCAGTTCTCTAACTTTAGTTTGCCTCAACCAAATGTTATGAAACTTATACATAATGCTTATTAACACAAAACACAGGTCAAGTTTGAATTTGGGTGGCGTCACTTTTACTGTTTTAGAGTAATGTCCCTTTACAAATGGAAAAATTGCTTAATTTTTCGTTTCCGTTCCTTAACTTAAGTTTGCCTCATCCAAATGTTATGAAACTTATACACAATGCTTATTACCACAATACACAGATCAAGTTTGAATTTTGGGGGCGTCACTTTTTACTGTTCTAGAGTTATGCCCCTTTACAAATGGGAAAATTGCTAAATTTTTCATTTTTTTTTTCCAAAAATATCAATGTCATTATTCAAGTAATTTTTAAAATTGGAGTTATCTTCCTTTGTCCATGATTATAGTTAAATCAACTACAATCAATGCTTTATACAATGCAATGTTTAATTTGGCCTTCCACTGATAAAACACAGATCAAGTTGAATTTGGGTAGTGTCACTTTAACCATTATTGAGTTATGCCCCTTTATAAATCGAAAAATTGCAAAATCTTTAGTTTCCATTCTGTAACTTAAGTTTGCCCCAACCAAACATTATGAAACCTAAACACAAAACTCATTACCACAAAACTAAGATCAGGTACAAATATTGTTTCCGTTCTCTAACTTTAGTTTGCCTCAACCAAATGTTATAAAACTTATACACAATGCTTTTTACTACATAATACAAATTAAGTACGAAATTTGGTGGTGTCACTTCTACCATCCTTTATAAACATAGAAATTGCTGAATTTTTCGTTTCCGTTCTCTTACTTTAGTTTGTCTCAACCAAATGTTATAAAACTTATACACAACCGTTCTAGAGTTATTCGAGTTTACAAATAGAAAAATTGCTGAATTTTTCGTTTCTGTTCTCTTCTTGAGTTAGCCTCAACCAAATGTTATGAGACTTACACACAATGCTTATTACCACAAAACTCGGATCAAGTTCAAATTGGGTAGCGTCACATTTACCGTTCTTCAGTTATGTCCCTTCATAACTATATGATATGCAAGCAGGGGCATCATCTGTGTCTACATGTGGACACAATCCACATTTGGACACAATCCACATTTATTTATTTTTTTTATAGATAGCAATGCACATCTTGTATGTTATGCATATCTGTTATAAAGCAATGGATGAATATAATGTTATAAAAACTAAAGAACTAAGTAATTAAAAATTTATTTTCAAAATTCACTTCTTATTTGTAAATTTTTCTTCTTTTCTTTAACAAATTATGAAAGTGAATTATAATCCCATTAATAATCTTATTTTATGAAAATGTAGCAAAAAGAGAAGACAGTTCACAGTTTACTGACTCCCCCTAAAATAAGAAAAATTTCTGGTAAACACTGTTTAGAAACAGTGTTAGTTTGGAACCCTTAAAAAAATTCAATGTTATCTGGGTTTTTGTTCCTCAATGAATGAAAATTTCTAATCGTAATAAACAAAATAATATTATAGATTTTTTATTGAATTTTTAAAGTACCTTGTTTAAACTGAGAATTTAAAGGTATAAATTATATGCTTACGAAACATCATCTTATCCTTCTAATTAGCTGGATCTGTTTTGATAATTTTTATGTCTAAATCAAGAACTGCTACAGAATCTTGTGGCCAACACCATTTTCACCAGATGACAACCAGTTATTTCTTTGAGGTGTAGAAGCTTGCCAAAATTAAAGGGTTATTTTGTACTACAGGCACATTCCCAAACACTTATTTTGCCTTCTCGCTACTTTTGATGATTATTTTACTATTGGTTACTGTAGTAATGTAAAAGGAGATATTAAGGCATAAAGATAAATTAAATGGTGATCATTGGGTAGAAGAAACATTTGTTCTTCAAAATGCAAATTTCAATTAGTGATCATAATGACTCAAATTAGGAGAATAAAAACCATTTGAAAAACTATTATTACGATGCATCTTCTAAGGCTTCTATATACATAATATATATGAGAACTGTAAGAATTTTGTAAGATGCACACCTGGTATTTAAAAAAAAAAAGTTAAAATTTATTTTCAGACATTTTTTCATACTCTGCCTGTGTAAACACCGATTAAAATAGATTTGTCTGTTTAGCTGTCACACTTTTCCAAGATAGAGTTCACAATAACTACTACATAACAGTGATTTTATAAGAGTTCACAATAACTACTACATAACAGTGATTTGATAAGAGTTCACAATAACTACTACATAACAGTGATTTTATAAGAGTTCACAATAACTACTACATAACAGTGATTTGATAAGAGTTCACAATAACTACTATAAAATAACAGTGATTTTATAATCAGCATTTAGTACTACAATATCAAGGTTAAATGACGTAATGCTTTTTCTTTTTTTTTGATTTGGATAAAAATATCAGCTCCTTTCACTGCATGTAAAATTGGAAATTTAAGTGGTCAGATGTAATGTATTTTATTGGCTTAAATCATTTGGTTCTTTGATGTCAAAACATGAAAATGTGTATGTTAATTGATTTTGATAAAGGTTGGAACGGCTATTGTTTTTAGAAGTAATTTACAATATTTACAATACAATTTACAATATTTTTATTTTTCCAAATTAAAGGGCCCATTAAGAGCATAACATTAATAACAAATGACATAAACATTACAGAGTGATTAAAGAAACATAAAATAATAGTTCAAATGCATGAGGAAAGGGTCAGTGGTCAAAGGGAGATAATTTTGCTATCTATTAGAGTATTTAACTAATTTTCTGATTTTCTAAGTTGCAGGCCTTTATCAAGGTATGCACTTAAAGTTAAATATTCTACAAAAATTGATTGTTCCCACAGTTGGACAAATTTCTGTAATTTTTGGTTGCATCGCAACTGTCATACTGTCCTGTTCGTCTGTCTGAATGACCTTGGGTAGAAAATTTTCTTCAAAGTTTTCTTGGCTTCTATAAAAGGGAATGATTTTATATTTGCTTTACAGCTTTATAATGTTGAGTTGTAGCCTGTAAGCAATGTTTACATCTGCCGTGCAGCTACTTCCAGTTTGCTGATAGTTTGAAAATTTTATAACACTCGCTATACAACAAAAATTATGCTTCAGTACACCAGTTACCTTAATTAATTGCATGCAGGGACAGAGAAAAATGTTTTACAAATATTGCTGAAAGTGAAATATTTTGAATGCATGTATACTTGACTTTCTATACACTTATGGACATTGTTTATTTGTATTTCAAGCATTTATGGTAATCAGTGGATGGTCTAATGAAATACGGTTTAATTTTGTCATTTTCATTTTTCAAGTTTTTCCTATCAAAGGTCAGTGGTTTTCGCTGGGCACTATGGCTTCCTCCACCAATAAAAACTGTCCGCCACGAAATAGCCCAAAAGCGGTGCTTAAAAGTGGCATTAAAACACCAAAAATCAAATCAATCATTTCTCAAGCAGAAATCACATTTTTCAAACCACACAGAATTTATATCATTTGTGTTTTTTTTACATTTGCTGTATTTAGACATACTTGTTACCTTGTCCTATTGAAATTATAAGTAAGTATATTTGTGAGAAATTTATATCAAGTTGCCTTTCTGAATTTTGAGAATAAATAAAAATAGATTACAGAAATTTCATTTGATTAAGATAGAAAGGAATTATTCCTATCTAAATGATGACGGTTATTTTAAGATGAAGGACAATCAGCATTATACTGTGTAAATATTGTTTGTATTTAAAAAATAAATTTTAAACTTGATATGTTTGTGTATTTGTCTGAGAAAAATAAGAAGATGTGGTATGAATGCCAATGAGACAACTATCCACCATAGTCCAAACGACATGGATGTAAGCAACTATAGTCTTTCAATGCATGTATGTACAATGAACAGAAATCATATCCTATGGTCATCTATAATAGCTATATTGCTCTGTGAAGTGTAGATGTCATTTTAAGGTTTTCCTGTTTGAGTCATTTCTTTAGTATTTATCACTTGGCATCCCAGTCTGGTAAACTATTGTTCTTCACCTCTGTTACCAAAGGTAGCACTCCACAGTTAGGTGTGTAGTATCGCATTTTGGCCCCTGTGGATTTTTCAAATATGAGAGCTAGTGAGCAATAAAATTCATTTTTGGATAGCTGAAGATTAATATAGCCTTCACAGTGGGTTTATAGAAACATCAAGATTGTGTAATGTATGTATTATGGACTGTTTTCTGTATGACAGTCCGTATTTTCATATCTATGCCAGACATCGGTCCGGCAATTATTGCATTGTTTTTTTCTATCTTTTTGTCGCACAAACTTTGTGATTAAATTTTACAAAAAAAAAATGAGGCGAAAGACACCCAATTTTTATTTGATCATTTGGTAGATTAATGTGAACAGTTTCAGAAAAGGTATCACTCATAGGCATTGAAATTCTAGTTTAAACCAAATTTTGGGGGAAAATGTGACATTTTCATGCCCCTTTTTGCAATATTTTATGATAAATAAATGCAGAATGTTGCTATGGATACACAAAAAAAGGAATTATTTTCACCATTTTTAGTTTTGAAAATTAAATCTATGGAAGATACTGATTACATACATATGCACATGTACAGTGATCTCCCCAGGCTGTCATGTATGACACAAACAGTTTGCTTAATGTATTAGAAAGCCATGAATAGAAGGTGATTAAACATTTTGTGGTTCAATTTTAATTTTATTTTCTAACTGGAGTGCTACCAAAGGATTGGTTTGAATTGACCCTGGTCCCATTTTCCTTGGGACGTGTTGTCAAAATTATATTTCCTGATGTAACTACAGACTAATTTCATGGTTGTGACTAAGGGGATAAATCAGGTAAAATGATGCATGTTTTCATTTTACTGTAAATATTTAGCTGGATTTCAGTGCATTCATTTCTGATAAATCTGTTCTAATTACGTCTTTTGGATCTTAAAAAAGTAAAATGTACGTTTAGGCAATTTATTTCGTCCCTTGAAAATTAAAAAGTATTACAAATCTACGAAATAAAACCCTACACAGGTCATTTCTCTGTAATGTATATTTGGTATCAATATTTTATATTTTTAAATTTCATTCTTATTTTGCCATGTAAGCTATGTGTAAAGTGGCTGTTTTAGATAAAATATGTTAATTTTAACATGTGAATGTCATCATAGTGACATAAACTTACATTTCTGTTCTAAAGTGTGCATACTGTATCAAAGAATGCTCAGTAACTGAAAGAAAGGTAAAAGTTCTTTACCTGTTGATAAAAAATCATGCCATCAGTCAAAGAAGTGCATGTAAATTTTGTATATGAAATGGCTGCAAGAAATCACCTAAACTTAAGCAAATCTTATTCATAATACAAGTTATGATGGGAGAGACGAACATGAGACAATATCCAAAACTTGAGTAAAACAAACCAAACCGGAGATCTCTGTATGATTTTCAACAAGGAATAGACAATAGTTCAATCAGGATTATTTATTTTCAAGATGTGGTTTGATTGCCAATGAGACAACTCTCCACCAGCAACCGAATGACTGCCGATAATTTAACAACTGTAGGCCTTCAACAATGAGCAAACTCATGAAAAGAAAGATCAATACAAAGCACAAAAAACAACTAACAAAAACACATATAAGACACAAATAGATATAAGAAGATGTGGTATGAGTGCCAATGAGACACACAAAGTACAGATCTGAGAGTACTCACAGTTACTGAAGAGCCATTGTGAGCTTTTTACATCACTTGTGTCTGTTGTCATCCATTAACTTTTACAAAGATCGTCTGTCTCCTTTAAAACTACTGGGCCTAATTATGCCAAACTTTGCCACAATCATTAATGTAGTATCTAGTTTAAAAAATTTGACCAATGACCCTGCCTGTCAACAAACATGGCCAACATGGCTAAAAATAGAACATAGGGGTAAAAAACAATTTTTGTCTATTATCTTCAAAATCGCTTTAGATGAAGAAATCTGACAGGGCAAAAATGTTAACTAGAGGCTCCAAGGAGCCTGTGTCACTCACCTGATATTTTTATTTACAATTGATGCATGAAATAATGCAACCGTTATACATTTGCTTTAGTTTCAGAGATATAAGTCAAAAACTGCATGTTCTGCCTAAGTTCTATCTAAGCCATGTCTGACATGTTGGTTGGACACATTTTTTAAACTAGATACCCTAGTGATGATTGTGGCCAAGTTTGGTTAAATTTGTCTCAGTTGTTTCATGAGAGAAGATTTTTGTAAAAGATTACAAAAATTTACGAATAATTGTTAAATTTGACTTTAAAGGGCAATAACTCCTTATGGGGTCAATTGACAATATTGGTCATGCTGACTTATTTGTAGATCTTACTTTGCTGAACATTATTGCTGTTTACAGTTTATCTCTATCTATAATAATATTCAAGATAATAACCAAAAACTGCAAAATTTCCTTAAAATTACTAATTCAGGGGCAGCAACCCAACAATGGCTTGTCTGAGTCGTCTGAAAATTTCAGGGCAGATAGATCTTAAACTGATGAACATTTTTACCCCCATGTCAAATTTGCCCTCAATGCTTTAGTTTCAGAGATATAAGCCAAAAACTGCATTTTACCCCTATGTTCTATTTTTAGCCATGTTGGCCATCTTGGTTGGCAAGCGGGGTCATTGGACACATATTATAAACTAGATACCCTAGTGATGATTGTGGCCAAGTTTGGTTAAATTTGGCCCAGTAGTTTCAGAGGAGAAGATTTTTGTAAAAGTTAACGGACGACAACGGAAGACAGACGACGGACGCCAAGTGATGAGAAAAGCTCAATTTGCCCTTTGGGCCAGGTGAGCTAAAAATTATGAGATCTACCTAATGACTATTGACATCAAAACTAAAGGACAGCTTCTTATAAGAGTTATTGCCCTTAATTGAAAAATTTTACCGATTTTTTTTTTAATTTCTGTCTGTTTTCTCGAAAAATGATAAAAGATGACAGAAACTTTAAATAGAAAAAATGATCACCATGACAAAATCTAAGAATAAGTCAACATGATCGAAATCATCAGATGAGAACTTATTGAAGTTTTTGCCCTTTAATGACGATTTTTCACGTTTTATCTTGAAAGCTATAACAGATAGAAACTTTAAATAGAAAAATGATCAGCAAGACAAAATCTACTAATATGTCAACATGATCAAAATCATCAGATGAGACCTTATTGATTGAAGCTATTGCCCTTAAATAACAATTTTTACCATTTTTTTGCATGTTTGCCTATTATATTGAAAACTATAATGGATAGATAGAAACTTTAACAAGATGTTCTCAAGAGCCTGAATCGCTCACCTGTAATTTTTTGCTTAAATCTTTCATCAATGATTATTTTTGCTTTTCAATATATATTAATGAATGGCTTAAAACTTCCATTGAAATGTTCTTTGTATCTGTCATATTTTCTTCAAAATCAAAGAAATGCATTTTACCCCTATGTTTCATTTTAGCCATAGTGGCTATGTTTCTTGACGTACAAGAAAATAAAATACAAAATTTATACTAGATACTCTGAAACTCATTCAGCCCAAGTTTGGCTGAAATTGATTCAGCAGTTTCAAAGGAGAAGATTTTTTAAAGTAAGCAAACTAAATGAACAAATTGTGAAAAATTGATTTTAAAGGGCAATAACTCCTTAAGGGGACAATTGACAATTTTGGTCATACAAAACTTATTTGTAGATCTTACTTTGCTGAACATTTTTGCTTGTTTACAGTTTATCTTTATCATTAATAATATTCAAGATAATAACCAAAATCTGCAAAATTTCCTTAAAATTACCAATTAAGTGCCAGCAATCCAACAATGGGTTGTTAGATTCATCTGAAAATTTCAGGGCTGACAGAGCTTGGCCTAATAAACATTTTTACCTCGCATCAGTTTAGCTCTAAATGCTTTGGTTTTTGAGATATAAGCCAAAAATTGCATTTTACCCCTATGTTCTATTTTTAGCCATGGCGGACATGTTTTTTTACGAAACAGAAAATAAAACACAAACTTTGTTCTAGATACCCTTTGAATCATTCAGCTTAAGTTTGGTTGGAATTGGTTCAAAAGTTTCAGAGAAAGTTAGAAAACATTATAAACAAATTGTGTAAAATTGTCCTTAAAGGGCAATAACTCCTTCAGGGGTCAATTGACAATTTTGATCATACGAACTTATTTGTAGAAATTACCTTGCTGAACATTTTTGCTGTTCACAGTTTATCTTTATCATTAATAACATTCAAGATAACCAAAAACTGCAAAATTTCCTTAAAATTACCAATTTAGTGGCAGCAACCCAACAATGGGTTATCAGATTCAACTGAAAATTTTAGGGCTGATAGAACTTCACCTTATGAACACTTTGACCTCTGTCAGATTTGCTCTAAATGCTTTGGTTTTTGAGATATAAGCCAAAAACTACATTATACCCCTATGTTCTATTTTTAGCCATGGCGGCCATGTTATTTGATGAAACAGTAAATAAAACACAAACTTTATTCTAGATACCCTAAGCATCATTCAGCTTAAGTTTGGTTGAAATCGGTTCAGTAGTTTCAGAGGAGAAGATGTTTGAAATAGTTTACACCAGACGGACGACGACGACCTCAAACGACAGACGCTAAGTGATGGCAAAAGCTCACATTTCCTTCGGAATGGTGAGCTAAAAAGCAAAAATGATCAACAAGACAAGACTTACAAATAAGCCATCATGGCTGAAATCTTCAGTTGACTCATTTAAAATTTACCAATTTTTGTTTTTGTGTTTTTTGCCTGTATTTTGAAAACTATAACAGATAAATAAAAACTTTTAGGAAAAACTAGACATCATTGAGATAGGAGCCATCTCTGTGGGCCCCTCTGTGATTAATGTGTGGTAAAAAAAATGTATCTTTATCATTGGACATGGGGTTGTCAACTGAAACCAAAGTTTTTGACCTTGACCTTTGACCTGGGAAGTTGTACATAAATTATAACACACCCTCTGGTGTTGGTTTATATACATGTCAAGTATAAACTTTGAAATCATAACGGTTCTCAAGATATAGAGCGGACACGATCTTTACCATAAGACATGGGGTTGTCAACTAAAACCAAAGTTTTTGACCTTGACCTTTGACCTATGAAGTTGTACATACATTATGACACACCCTCTGGTGTTGGTTAATATACATGTCAAGTATAAACTTTGAAATCATAATGCTCATAATTAGATATAGAGCAGACACAATTTGTTACGGACGGACGAACAGACGGACGGACAGACAGACAGACGGACAGACTGATCACTATAGGGCATCTGCCATTCGGCATTATCAGCAGGATAAGATCTATAATAATGTCAACATGACTGAAATTGTCAGTTAGCTCTTAATAGAGTTATTCCCCTATAATGATGATTTTTTACTAAAATTTGGCCATTGTTTAAGATGCAGGTGAGTGACACAGCCTCTTTTAGAGGCTCTAGTTTTTTTAAGTGAACTTTTTTTTGTTATGTTCAATTGTTTTATTAGGGCCTCCCAACTAGTTATCAGTGCCCTTTAGAAATCTGTCTGTCTGTCAGCACTTCTATGTCATACTATAAGTCCAGATTGACCAGTATTTTAAATTTTTATGCAGTGTTAATACCTATAAAAGGCCCTTTTCATTTTTTATGAAATTTGGACAAAAATTGTGGAATAAATAAACAAATTTTTAGAAACATCTATCATGTCTATTTGTCCTAGAACTTTAAAAAAGTAATTGACAATCATATAAGTTATGATATATTATTCAAAATTGATTTCAAGGACAAAAATTGATTTTTTTGTGATAATTTAGTGGTAAACCATTTTTTGAGAAATATCTTGTGGTAGCATTTGAATTAAAATTGATATATAGATAAATTAGGTGTTTCAACATCATAATTAACTAATGGGGTAGTTAGTTCCCAGTTCCTAATATGTAAATGCACTGAAACTTTCAGGGGGTTGTCTTTTGGTTTTGAGTACTATTTGTCTCACATAAATTTGAAAACTTCATTTATAGGCCAAATAAGATACTTGAAATTCCCCCAGAATTGATAATTGATTAAAAGAATCAAAGTAAAACAAGTGACATCATCATTATACAAAAATTTAAAGTGAAGTCTCTTTCTACGTACTAACAAAAAAATAGTCATTTTCTGTGGTATTTTGACTGTCAGAGAAAAAAACAAAACAACAGGAATTATTGTTAATGTTTTATTCATAAAAAAAAACTTGAGGCTGCCAGCAGCAAACACTACTGGAGTGTTGTATCCTTGTGTCATAGAATTTGTTAACTCTACTCACTACATATAAAATGCTTGACAGATGGAGAAGAAAATATTATTGCATGAATAAATCAGTTTTATCAACTTCATTGAAATTAACTCATTTTAATATATGACATTATCATCGATTGTCCTTAAAAATTTTGAAAGTTTTGTTGTCTGCCAAATATGAATTTAAATTTTTTTAATATGAAACATGAATGAAATCACTGTATCTTCAGATTATGTTTAAAATATGTATAGTAAGAAAGATAACTTTTTTTCAAACATGGTAAAACTGTTTTATAAGTGAGTGAAAGATTGCAAAGTTTATATTGCACAAATCAGTGTACATAAAAAAAGGTATCAATGAATGGTCATAAACATTACAAATATATGTGTTAATAAAATATACTATAAAATCTATATAATAATTAAAATAAATTATCACAAATTAACCTCTAAGTCCAGCTTAGGTTGCATGTTGTCCACAACACTTTTAACAAATAAAAATTCAACAATTCAACAATAATTTTATCACAGCAGCCTTTGTTTTACTTTAATAAATCATCTTTAATTAATTTGCATGTCACAATTCCTGGAACATCAAAATATTGATACATTTTAATTGCTATGAAAAAATACATAAAAGTAACTGGTATCTGATGGAAACTTTATTTTTATTATATATTTTATACTACGAAAATCATTTCATATGGACAAAAATCTATGAAGTGTAATTCTGTATTTAGCCATAAAAACTTATCTTTAAATTCTCAATAAAGGCAGACTAATCCACAACCTATTACATTCTTACAGACAACATTTTGTTAAAAGAACAAAATATAAGCAACGCCTGTACCCCGTCCCCACTGAAAAGATATTGGACTTGCATCAACATTTTTGTTTAAGACTCCTTGTGGCAAAACCTTTTTCCTGGATAAGACTGTCGCTTATATCACAATGTTACTTGGAAGATCTCATTATTAGGCATTTATGGTACCTTTTCAATGTAAAACAAATTAAAATAAATTATTATGTACTAATTTAGTCAGATCCAAGTTTTGTTAACATCTAAAAAGTATACTTAATAGATCTAAAAATACATATTATATATTAAGATTTTCAAATTAAAGAAGCAAAAAAATGACTTTATAATACCTTTTCTTTCAAAGAGGGACATGTATGCCAAATGCTTTATTTTTTTTCCCTTTATTTGCTGATATTAGTTCTGTTGTATCACACTACAGCCAAATAATTTAAATGACCTTAGACTCATTAAGAGCAGCTTGTAAAATCAAAGTACTGAAGTACTGAACATCGGATGACCACAAGTTCTTGAGGATGGTCAAAAGCACTTGTCTCAGAAAAAAACAACATATCTCTTTACCTAAAACTGAGGTTAATGTACAGAGATATATTTTTTTCTGAGACAAGTTCGTGCGTGGATGATGAATAAATGACAGGAAATTCAACTTCACCGTAATAACTATTATATTGTAGTGATACAAATCAGTATACACTGAGTTGTTGTTTATATTATATTAAAATAACAGTTACATATATATATGATTTGAATCCATTTGTATATCATTCTATTCTACTATTCTAAAAATAGTGCAATGCAAGTGCATGGTGGACACTTTTCTGTAAAAATACGATTTTTCTAAGATTGGATACGAGTAGGCATTCATATTTTCCCGCAAAATCAATTACAGAGTTACCGGTCCTTGACGGTATTTTCACAAAACGTTCTTTGAGATATTCTTCCGCATGCTTTAACACAATTTTCCGGTACGTGTGCATTGATATTATCAATGATTTTTTACTTATATATATATATATCTAACTACAAAACATTTTCATATTATTAATTTATGTTGTAAACAAAAATATTTTTATCAGTATTCATTGAAGAGATGTATTTATATCAAACGATAAGGAATGTTATTTTGCACTCGTTCATGTGCGCGTATTTATCATGTTTATAGATCGGTTACAAACCCAAAACTAATTTACATAATGGAAATCTAGGCGATAGCAATACATCGGGATGACCTCAAGGTCATCGCGATGTAAAAATCATAAAAATTTGACAAATTTATTACTTTACATTCGTTTTCTTTCTGACAATTCATCTTTTCTAGCCAAATAGAAAATAAAATAAAAACAAAAATATTTTAAAGTTTCATGTACTGTAAATTCAGAAATTATTGCGAAAAATGCGACAGGGTAATAATCACAATAATTTAAACTCACATTTTGAATTTTTTTATATGAATTAAACAGGATTTTTCTCAATATCGCAAAAATTAAAATCCCATTTTAGTCTAAAATGACAAAATCGCAATAATAAATGCATGCAATAATTTCTGAATCTACAGTACTAAACTAAATTACAATAATAAAAGAAGTCAATAAATTCCACAATACAATTTGGCTGTAAACTGATTTAATCTGAACAGTAAATCAGCAAAGGAAAACATGTTGCATATAAAATAGATCTGTACATTTGACTTTACCAAAATAATTAAGTATGTGTTCAGTTGTAGAATAAACAATTCAAAAGAAATAAGTAGTACCTAATTTTTGGGCAAATTAATAAATTTACAATTGTCATACACAATCACTTTTACAAATAAAATGCTTCGCTGAGCGCATCCTGATATGACCGCAGAGGTCGAACCCTGAACAGTTGGGGCAAGTTTGGACACAATATTCAATCTTGATACTGTCTGAATTTGGATTGTGATCAAATTTTTGACATAATATAGGTTTCAGACACAAAATAAATGAGGTCAAAGATCTTAAAAATCTATTGCGCAATACTGCAAAATTGAAGATTTCTTCTTGAAACTTTTCAAAACATTTGAAATTTCAAAAATTTTGAAGAAAAAAAATATGAACCCCCCAAAAAAATTGGAGAAAAAAAATCCCCCCCCCCAATCTTTTTGACCTCCCTTGGAGTAATTACCCCCAAACTCAATCCCTGCCTTCCCTTTGTAGTATGGAACCTTTTAATACAATTTTAGAGAGATCCATACACTTAAACACAAGTTATTGTCTGGAACTACAAAAATGCTTGTTTTTGGACCCTATTTGGACCCTAATTCCTGCATGTTTGGTGCAATTACCCCCATACTCAATCTCAGCCTTCCCTTAGTGATATGGAACCTTGTGGTACAATTTCAGAGAGATCCATACACTTACACACAAGGTATTGTCTGGAAACTACAATAAACTGCTTCGCTGAGCGCAGCTGGATACGCCCGCAGAGGTCCAACCCTGAACAGTTGGGGCAAAAATGGACACAATATTCAAGCTTGATACAGGTCTGAATTTGGATTGTAATTAAATATTTGATATATTATAGGTTTCTGAATAAATGTAGTCAAAGAACTTGAAATTGGTTATATGAAAGATTTCTTGCTGTTGTGCAATACACTGTGCTGTTGCGCAATACTTAGTAAATCTGTTGTCAGACTATAAACAAATAAAATCTTATAACTTGGAAACGCAAAATCAAAAATTTATAAAAATCAAAAGGGAGCTTACAAAAATAGATATAAACAATTTATAAAAGTTTCATAAAAAATGCTGAAAGCATTTTTGAGTTATTGTCTGAAAACTGGAAAATCCCCCTTTTTGTAATGAATAAAACCCCATAAATCGGAAACGTATTATCTGAAATTCATAAAGATCAAAAGGGAGCTCATGTCGATAGAAATAAACAATTCACCAAAGTTTCTTGCAAATTGGTGAAATTGTTTTTGAGTTATTGTCCGAAAACTGGAAAATCCCCCCTTTTTTAATGAATAAAACCCCAAAACTCAAAAACGGTAAATCCGAAATTTATAAAAAACAAAAGGGAGCTCAAGTCAATAGATATGAACAATTCATAAAAGTTTCATGCGAATTGGTGATATATTTTTTGAGTTATTGTCTGAAAACTGGAAAATCACCCCTTTTTTTTAATGATTAAAACCCCAAAACTCAAAAACGGTAAATCCGAAATTTATAAAAAACGAAAGGGAGCTCAGGTCAATAGATATGAACAATTCACTAAAAAGTTTCATGCATATTGGTTAAAGTGTTTTTGAATTAATGTCCGACATGTTGACGACGGACGGACGGACAGACGGACGGACAGAGGTATACCATAATACGTCCCGTAAACGGGCGTATAAAAATGATTGTTTTTGGCCCCTTTTTGGCCCCCTAATTCCTAAACTGTTGGTACCATCACCCCCAAAATAAATCCCACCCTTCCTTTTGTTGTAATGGACCTTCTTGTGAAATTTCATAGAGATCCATTCACTTTAATTAAAGTTATTGTCCAGAAACCAAATGTGTCTTCGGATGACGACAACGCAGACGACAAAGCCGACGACAATATCATAGCATTATACGAACCCAAAATTTTTGCGGTCATATAAAAATATTGGACGGAATTGATATATGCATACTTATATGAATTTAAAGATATAACATAAAAATATAAAAACAACTAAAAAACTTCTAGTGTGATAAATAGTTCTATATATATATAGTACATGTATAATTATTCCTGTGCTTGAAGTTTGTATAGGCTTACTTTATTCTTCAAAGTTCATAACAATTTTATTTCAAGAACTGGAAAATTAGATAACCCTTCCTAACATTTAGAGAGAAAAAAACTGTTCTTTGTAATTTATATGTATATTTCTTAATACATGTATGTTCATTAATGTAAAATTAGTATAAAACCAAAAAATTATGGTATAATATTTTTAGACTTTTAGATTAAATCATACTTTTTTCAAAATTATATTAAAACTACTTGTTTTCAAACTACAAGTAGTGAAAATCATTGTTCTATGTGATACACATAAAGTAAACATACAAAAATGAAAACAGAACAAATGATAATTGATAGAAGATTGATTTAAAAATTACACAATGTTTTCCTTTTTAATTTTTTCAATTACAAATTTTCTAAACTTTTTTCTTCTCTTACTATAGTGTACATTGAAAAAGACAACTAATTTATAAATTTATAATGTATGGCATGTTAAGAAGTTAAACAATAGAAACAACAGAAAAGCAAGTATTGAGAATGACAAGTATAAGTAAGAAGACGGTAGCTTTGGATTTGTTCTCAAATATTTGATTAATACTGAAGTAAAAGAAATTTCAAAATATAAACAAGTTGCACATGATATGATGTCATGTAAAGTATAACTATTAGGCATAGAAGAAAAATTCAGTACTCAGTTGGTAAAATAAGAATTCAAATAATCATCAAACAGGAAGTAACTACCAAGCAGATCTGAAAATTGATCACGACCAAATATCATTCCTCAATGCTGGCAAATTTGTGAACAGACAAATGTATGTGCTGAAAGATGAACTGACTGACAAGGTAATTGGAGAAATCCGTGAGTTGGAGTATAATAATAATAATAATAGAGAGTTGTCAAAGGCATTGCAGAAATCCGTGAGTTGGAGTAATATTAAAATAATAGAGAGTTGTCAAAGTTACTAATCTCTGCTGTTAACTTCTTAAATAAAATGTAAATTTCCTACAAACTTCACTGTTTAGTCAAAAAAATTCAACTTCCTGCACATCTTCAGGTAAGGATAAAAATAATGCATTGTGCCAAGAGGTAAGAGTGGAAATAATACAATATGCCAAAAGATAAGTATCAAAGTATTAAACACAATGTGACAATATTTCTTCAGTCACACTTGAGAGAAATGAATTGTACAATAAAACATCAAGCCATTTTCTTTTTTCTGATGGATCCTGGACTGCTGGATGTTGGTGAATCTGGCGCTGCAAATCCACTTTTAGACATTGATGTGTGACATCCACGAATCTAAAATAAAATTTATCAGATTATTTGCAGAATCGTGATTTATGCAATATTGAAAGCTATGTCAATCTGTTTGCAGTAACATTTAATTCTCTTGTGTCTTTTCAGGCTACATTTATTTTTTTATTCCGGGAAAACTTTCATTTTTTAAACTTTTCGATATTTTTCCCTAAAATTGCAAAGAATTTTTCAAGTTAAAAATAATTGTAAATTGAAGACAAAAAACTAAGAAACGATCAAGTTATATACATTTGAGCAAATTTCCTTGCAGCGGCCTAATACAAAAAAGTCCAAACTTTAGAAAATTAATACTGTTTGTTATCTCCTGATGATTTTTTATTTCAAAGTTAACCTCTATCATATGCACTGCAATGAAATTTTTGAACACAAAAATACATGGAATGATATGTTGTGTCATACATGTATAATAAAATATATAGTAATTTGTTAGATATTGATTACCATAATACTTATAGATGGATATAGTCTGACAGCTTAATCTTTTCATCTTATTCTCTATAATCCACATCTCCCACTTAACCAGCATAAGTAAAAGTTTGCATACTTCAAAATTTATTGTGTCTTCACACTGTCAGAGCAATCCTTATGCATAATCTAATTTTTCAAAATTTTGAGTATCTTAAATATGCCAAGTAACTACACTGTAAGCTTTACCCTGTGCAAGCTGGTCTGTGATCCTAGGTTCTCAATCCTTTTTGCTCCTTTTTCCAATGCAAATTTTATATCCTTGTCCATGCCAGGTATTGCTATATCACCAAATATCTATTAATAATGTAGAGTTATTCAGTTAATAGAAATTTTGAGAAAATAAAAAAACTGTGTAGTTATTGTAGTTATATAATATTTTTATATTTCTATAGACCATACAGCTTTTTATATTTCTATAGACCATACAGTATTTTATATTTCTATAGACCATACAGTATTTTATATTTCTATAGACCATACAGTATTTTATATTTCTATAGACCATACAGTATTTTATAATAATAATTTTATTTATTTTAGTTTATCATGAAATAAAGGTTTTACAAAGAGTATAAATAACACAACAAGACCATTATCATGTCTTGACCTGTGTGGCATGAAGCAGTTTTAGAGAATAGCCTTCAATGCCATAAGTTCTCAAGTGTAAGAATTTCATTCAATCATTCAAAATGCATGAATATGGAATCCCATGGAAGAAATTCTCAGTCTATAGAATGGTTTTATCTTTAGAGCACTGAGACCAGATATTATCAAGTACAGCAAGATTTGTGTGTTGTGTAGGGGATAGTCAGGCCAAAACTAGACCTGCCTTTACCTCTGGAGATGCAGGTAAAAATATTTTAAACTGCTACAACTTGACAATATCAACTTTTACCTTTTGTTTTTCTACCTTTGTTTTCAGTGTGTATTTTAAGGAAAGACCCTTTGTTTTTGTTCTGATCGTTATTATATGTTTTTTTATTTTGTGTCTACTTCCAACATGCTTTTTCCCCCTGTATTGTTGTTTTGCAAGATTTTGATTAGATATTTGGCATATGATATTGAACAATTTCAGTATGTATTTGAAACTCACCCTGTTTAACCAAACACTTTTCTTTGTAAGCGTTATCTCCCCTAAAACTGAGTGTATCTCCTTCGTAAAAAAAAAAAAGAATATATTGTTTCAGGAAGCTTTGGTCAATCTTATCCTAAGCCATCCAGTAACATCTTGTAAGAGTTATCTACCTTGACTTTTTTTACAATAAAGTGATATGTTGGTAGTCTCAGGAAATGCCTGTATAAATCTTACCTCTACAACACCACCATCAGGTAGTCTGAGGAAATGTCTGTATAGTTCTCTCAGACCATCCAGATGTATTGTATGGATAGAGACATGTGTTGTAATCTCCTTTCGACCATGTATTACTTCACGGTGTTCCACACCTTGCTCATCCCAAATACTCTCTTCAACCTGACAACATTCAATTTGAACAAAATAAATGTTGCCATTTGTTAACATGAATAAATCACAAAACAAAGATACAACAAACAATAATGAAGTGTAAAACATTTTTATCAGCTTTCTGCAATACAGCATTGAAAAACTTGCTATTACATGTTCTTTAAATAAGAAAATCTATTTGATCTTTTTTGAGCTGCTAAATTTTACTGTAGCCTTTAAAATACTATAGAACAGATTTCTGGGTGCAAGATACATGTTCTGGAATAACCTTCATCAGGAAAACTCTTAGACAAAAACCCCAAAAAGTCCAAACTATCAAACATGTGACAGCATGAAAACCAAAAGGGCCTACAAAAAACAGCTAAAACTGTCTAAAGTTAGCTCATTCTTCAGATGACAGTTTCAAATTTGTATAAGGTGATCATTATTTTCAAAGAAAAAATGTAAAACTTTATCTTAATTATTACATCTTCCTCTTCCCAGATATAATCATATACAGCAGTTTTTCGTCTCTCCCCTTCCTCTCCTCTCCATGCCTCAGACTTTTTAACAATAAAGTTCAGTTCCTGATTGGATACTTCAAGGTCATAAGGGTTGAAGAAGTTATCCTCAGCCCCATGTAGACGCCAGTAAACATCTAACATTCTTCCATTGTTGTGCAGCCTAGAACAATTAATATTCATGTTATAATTTATATTCATGTTGACAACAAATAATACAATTTTCAGTGAAGCCTTACTGAAATTACACACTTTACATTTCCATATACAAAATGCTTAGATAACCTAGTACATCAAATTTTGAGCATGAATCAAACATTTGATATTCTATTTTGAATTGTTTCACATTTGTTCATGCCAGGGCCTTTAATAGTTTACTTTACAGTACAGTATGAGTTTTGATCATTGTTAAAGGGTATGGAGTCCCTGATTGTTGTTTATATCCTTGTCCTTATGGTCTCTGGTGGATATTTGTCTCATTGGCAATCATACCACATCTCCTTGGTCTCTGGTGGATAGTTGTCTCATTGGCAATCATACCACATCTCCTTGGTCTCTGGTGGATATTTGTCTCATCGGCAATCATACCACATCTCCTTGGTCTCTGGTGGATAGTTGTCTATTGGCAATCATACCACATCTCCTTGGTCTCTGGTGGATATTTGTCTCATTGGCAATCATACCACATCTCCTTGGTCTCTGGTGGATAGTTGTCTCATTGGCAATCATACCACATCTCCTTGGTCTCTGGTGGATATTTGTCTCATCGGCAATCATACCACATCTCCTTGGTCTCTGGTGGATATTTGTCTCATCGGCAATCATACCACATCTCCTTGGTCTCTGGTGGATATTTGTCTCTTTGGCAATCATACCACATCTCCTTGGTCTCTGGTGGATATTTGTCTCATTGGCAATCATACCACATCTCCTTATTCTAATATATTGTGTAAGATTTTGGTTCCTTGTTTCTCCTAGTATGTAATGATTATGATTTATCATATTCTGTTGATTCATTATTCTTTGTTGGATACAAATTTTTGTTGATTTCATTTAAACCAAAAATTCAAATATTCAATGAAGTACAAGTTTTCTATAGATTAGTATATCAAAATAAGGGGATGTGGTAAGATTGCCAATGAGACAACTATCCACCAAAGTTCAGATGAAGTGGATGTTAGCAATTATAGGCAATCGTACAGCCTTTAACAATGAGAAAAACCCATACTGTATAGTCAGCTATAAAGGGCCTTGACATGAAAAATATGAAACAATCCCACTGAGAAAACTAACGGCCTAATTTATAACAAAACAATTTACAAAAAACAAATATGACAGACATGAACCAATGAAAGGACTGAACTACAGATTACTGACTTGGAACAGGAACTTAAAGAATGTGGCGGGGTTAAAAATGTTTGTGTGCTCAACCCTCCCCTAACCTGGGACAGTGGTGTAACAGCACAACATAAGAACAAACTATAAAAATCAGTTGAAAAGGGCTTAACTCATGTAGTCTTTGGCAAAACCACTAAATCAAAAATATACAATCTTTCATCAATCCACGAAATTTGAAAGAACAAAGCCTTGTAAATATCTGTTTTACATAAAAAGATACTATTACATAAAAGTTCTCTATTAGTATTTAATTTAAAACCACAGAAAACAACACTTTGGTTAGACATAACCAAAAAATCTTCAAAATTCAAAGACAGCTTCATTTCCCCATTAATAACATTTTGCGAAAAAATTATGAGAATTCACAAAAGCAAACCTACTAAAGAGTTATAGAATGCAAACCAAATTTTCAGAATTTTTTGAAGATAAAGAGCCATAACTTAATTTTATTGTATGCATACCTTAGGAAGTACATGTAGATAATAGAGGCTGTCATGAACATGGTAAATAAGTACAGGAATGAGGTTACAAATATGCCTGCCAGACCTGAACCTTCTGCTCTTTCAAAGTGCCAGTAAAGCTTCATGAAGTCTGCCTCTGGGTTTACTGCATCATCAATGTATCGCTTGAGTAAAAATACATTAAATGAGTCATTAATAAATGTAGTTATAAACAAATACTTAATCAATAATGGTGGATCTTGGAATATCAGTGTGACCTACTTTAAATAGACTAGTCATCAATACAAACAGGGAATCTAATTAGAGAGCAAACTAATTTATGCCCCCGCCGTAGCAGAGGGAACATTAGGTTTTACCCTTGTCCGTCTGTACGTACGTACGTCCGTACGTCTGTCCGTACGTCCCAAAGTTGGTTTCCGTTCTCTAACTTTAGTTTGCCTCAACCAAATGTTATGAAACTTATACACAATGCTTATTACTACATAATACAGATCAAGTTTGAATTTTGGTGGTGTCACTATAACCGTTCTAGAGTTATGCCCCTTTATAAACATATAAATTGCTGAATTTTTCGTTTCCGTTCTCTTACTTTAGTTTGCCTCAACCAAATATTATGAAACTTATACACAATGCTTATTACTACATAATACAGATCAAGTTCGAAATTGGGTGGCGTCACTTTTACTGTTCTTGAGTTATGCCCCTTTATAAACAAATAAATTGCTGAATTTTTCGTTTCCATTCTCTCTCTTTAGTTTTCCTCAACCAAATATTATGAAACTTATACACAATGTTTATTACCACATAATATAGATAAAATTCGAAATTGGGTGGCGTCACTTTTACTGTTCTTGAGTTATGCTCCTTTATAAACATAAAAATTGCTGAATTTTTCGTTTCCGTTCTCTAACTTTAGTTTGCCTCAACCAAATGTTATGAAACTTACACACAATGTTTATTGCCACAAAATACAGGTCAAGTTTGAATTTTGGTGGTGTCACTTTTACCGTTCTAGAGTTATGCCCGTTTACAAATGGAAAAATTGCTGAATTTTTCGTTTCTTTTCTCTAACTTAAGTTAGCCTTTACCAAATGTTATGAGACTTATACACAATATTTATTACCACAAAACTCAGATCAAGTACAAATTTGGGTAGCGTCACTTTTACCATTCTTCAGTTATGTTCCTTTATAACTTTATATGATATGCAAGCGGGGGCATTATCTGTGTCCCATTGACACATTCCCCATTTATTCTGTAATTAAAATACTTACCTTCAAAATACAATCCACAATCATTATAAAGAGTGGATCCAGCAGAGTCATAAGTCCATAAGCCACGGTGAATTTACAACCAATGTCTGGGAAAAGTCCAAACAATTTCTGAGATATCCAACAAAATATCACCAACAAAACGAAAATAACAATGTTCATAATTGGACCTAACCATACAACTGCTATCTCTTCTCTGGTCTTCATCAGGTTACTTTGATAGTTCAGTTCCACAGTGTATGGCAAAAAGTTGAACCTGAAATTTATGGATATGATAGTTTGAAAAAAATACTTTCTACAGAGAATCTATTCTTTTTTATTTGACCTTATAAAGGGAATTCATGTAATTTTGACATCTTTGTATTTTTGACTTTTTGATGAGGTGGACACAAGAATTTATCAACTCAAGAATTTTAGGTTTACTAATATGAATTATAATTTTGCTTTGGTTAACATGGTTAATAAACCTTGTACCAACCAACGAAAATTACATATTTTTCTGTTTTGCTTATACGCTTTACACAAACTTTAACCAGTCTTTTTTTCATTGAGAAACAGTGTTTTATCAATTGATGTGCTAAGGACCTAAGCCAATCAGAAAATCCAGGAGCTAGAATTATATAATAACCAGATTTAACAACTGATAGCATGTCTTAGTAATTCAATAGCCATATTATTTCAATCGATTGAATAAATGCTTTTTACATGGCTTGCTACTAATATCTGCCAAATAACTGGAGCACTATAACTTACTTATTGATTGGTATACTGATAGCATTAAGGAATAACCACTGTCCAATATAATGCATGTACATTCTGAGGAAAAACACAATAATAAACATCAACAGCATGCCCCAGAATTCTCTACTTCTCCACTGTGATAATCCAAGTTCTGCTAGGAACTGACGACCAACATACTGTAGCTTCTCATGGCTGCCTCTAGCCAATCTACCTTTTCCAGCAAAAGCTGGTCTACAAAACAAAAATTTTGACTTAATCACCAGGTGTCACTAGGAACTGAATACCCTTTTGCAGCACCTGAGTTCGCCCTCAGTTTTTGCAAGGGTTGGTGTTTCTCAAAATTCAGATAACTGTATAGTGTTTTGTGAACAAATGTTTGTCTTATTATTGTTTTCCTTTCAGGCATGATTTCTTTTTTTCTTCAACTTATGGTTTTTGATTGCCCTATTTATATCCCTGTTTTACACTTTACAAAAGGAGAAAGTATGAACAGACTACTTCTTTGGTCCCTTGATCATGAAAATCAAAAAGTAGTATGAATCTATCAAAAAATATCTTTTCAGGTGTTCACAAGACAATAAATAGACAGAAAATATTTGTAATATTATATTTAATTTGACATGTCTTTTATAATAAGATCTGCTATGATTGCCAATGAGACAACTTTAAAACAGAGACCCAATGACTATATGTCACTATACATCCTTCAACAATGAGCAAAACTCATACCGCATAGCAAGCTATAAAAGGGTTGTAAACAAATTCAAATTAGAATAAAGCAGCCTAATTTATGTACAAAACAAGAAACTATAAACAAATATGATATACAACTACTGAATTAAAAGCTCCTGATATATATGCTTTAGACTCATACAATATCTTCTTATTTATAGTTATAGTTAGGCCATCCAACTATTAGCTTTTAGGAAAATTGTAAAAGTCACCAAATTGTCTCCATTTTTATTCTCCAAAATAAAATTTTGAAGAGATGCCTTACCAAACAAAATCTTGTTTTGGTCGACTAAAATCTTTTGAACACACATGTTTTTAGGTTAAATAATATTAATGTGGTTAACAAAATAAATCTTTACATAGTTAGATCTATTATTTGACTTTTGTATATCTTATGTCAGTACTTACTGAACTGCAAAAGAATGCTCCTCTAATTCTTCAACATGTGTCAATTTCTTCTTCTTCATGTTTGGAGCCAGTAATGGAGTTTTAGGCAGCATTGAATACAATTTCTTGTGATAAATATCAACAGGTTTGCTGTTGTATTGCTAAAAAATAAATAAGGTGTGCTTCTGGTAAAGGAACAACTTTTTTATTCTTCTTTCCTAAAAAGATTGATTAAAAACACCTTAGTGCTTTGGCAGTTGAAAGGAACTTAAAAATGCCAACCATTTTTTTTTTAATTTTCAGTTATTTAACCCCTCAGGGGTATATTAATACAGACACATATATATATGACCTGTCACACGATAAGAATTACTTTTGGTATCACATTATTTACATGAATTGAATAATGACAATTATCAGGGGTCGGAACAGCCAAGAACAAGTCAGGAGCCTGTAGTTCAGTGGTTGTCATTGGTTCATGTCTGTCATAGATATAAGAAGATGTGGTATGAGTGCCAACGAGACAACTCTCCATCCAAGTCAAAATTTATAAAAGTAAACCATTATAGGTCAAAGTACGGTCTTCAACACTGAGCCTTGGCTCACACCGAACAGCAAGCTATAAAGGGCCCCAAAAATTACTAGTGTAAAACCATTCAAACGGGAAAACCAACGGTCTAATCTATATAAAAAACGAGAAACGAGAAACACTTATATTTGTTTTTCATTAATTATTTTGTTATAAATTAGGCCGTTAGTTTTCTCAATTGAATTGTTTAATAATTTTCATGTCTGGGCCTTTTATAGCCGACTATACAGTATCGGTTTTTCTCATTGTTGAAGGCCGTACAGTTGCCTATAATTGCTTACATCCACTTTATTTGGACTTTGGTGGATAGTTGTCTCATTGGCAATCATACCTCATCTCCTTATTTTTATTATTTATACATAGTCAGGTGACCTCTGACTATGTTAGAAAAGTGACCACTAAGGCAAGTTAAATATTTGTTGGACGGGATTCAAATTGACTCTTGTTAGATGATGGATTAACTGATTTGATTTTGCTGTATCGACATGTTTTACCAAAATCTTTGGACAGAAATTCCCATTTTCTAATTATGACATGTAAATTGTGTCACTATTTATTAAGGTCTATGTATTATTTGTAATATCCAGGGTCAAACCCATATATACCTTGTAATACATGCCAGGCATGCCCTTTACAGAGTCAAACTCAACTATACCTTATAATACAAGCCAGGCATGCCCTTTACAGGGTCAAACTCAAATATACTTTGTAATACATACCAGGCATGCCCTTTACAAGAGTTAACTCATATATGCCTTGTAATAAATGCCCTTTACAGGGTCAAACTCATATATACCTTGTAATACATGCCAGGCATGCCCTTTACAGGATTAAAATCTTCCTCTTTTCTAATGGCTAGGTCAGCCAGTTCATCATCACTCTCATCGGAACTATCACCAATAGCCATGTTTAGTTTCTTGTCTTTGTGTATGATGCGAGAACCATATGTAGTTGCTTGAGCCTCTTTACTCTAATCAAAATATACACATACAAAATGTCAGTTGAATTTTAATATTTGTTAGAATTTTCTTTGCTTCTCTAATAAAGGAAGTTAATTTGTGTTAATTGTAAATATTTTACTTTTGATTTTAGATTATTTAGTATATTCTTTATACTTTGAAATATTAATCCTCATCAGTTTTGATAATGGTTCTTGATTTGTTTAAACAAGAAAGACCCCCCCCCCCCCCAAAAAAAAAAAAAAAAAAAACAGAAAAAAAAACAAAATTAATGTGTCCTTACCTTGTTTTTATCTGCCAGTTTTACTTTGGAAGTTGTTGCTTCGGATCTCACTTCAATAGTTCCTGAGTCTGTTGGACTTAAACTTGTTGATGATCTGCATTTAATCAAAATTAAAACATATGTATGTTGTGTACAAGTTATAATTAGTACAAAAAAAATTGTACAAATTATGATTTGTATTTTGACTTTGTACAAATTTTAATTTGTACAAATTACAATTTGTACAAAATTTGACAAAAAATCACTATAACTTGTACAATTATTTATATTACGGATTTAGTTATAAAAAATACATTGATACACACTATAGAATTTATATTCAATGACCACACAATAAACCTTGTTCACAAAATACAAAAATAGTTCTATATAATTTGTTTGAGCATGCGATTTAATTATGGCATTGGAAATTGCACAACATCTTTTGCTTTTTACATTTATTTTTAGAAGAGCTACACCCCTTTTGCATTTACATGAAAGAAACCCCTGACCATCAGTTTTTGAAAGCTTTTTAACTGCTTCACATAGCGAAAGTTGAAGCTCAGGAACCGTTGTTGCAAATAAAGATGTGTCTTTACCAGCTTCAATTTGATTTCTCGACAAATATCCTGTTAAAATTCCTACAGTTGTTCCAATGCGGTACAAAAACTCTCCAGATTCCATTATTACACCTTAGATATTTCGAGGATCAGTTTGGGCACGATCAGACTGAGGAATTGGTATTATGACATCATCCCCAAAGCAAGTTCTGATAATTTCCTTTTCGTTTTCTTGGTTAGATATTCGGCTTGGATCTGTTGGCCAGACAGCGCACGCTATGATTGGTGTTTCAACGTCAGTGTCATCCTGGTTGTCACTGGGGCCAATTTCTATTATACTATCAGAATTGTCACTGGGGCCTATTTCTATTATTTTATCAGAATTGTCACTGGGACCAATTTCTATTGTACTATCAGAATTAACTGGCATTCATGTATCAATTACATTTCCTTTCTTCATCTAGGTATTTTTGTATTTTGTAAATAAGGTTTATTGTGTGGTCATTGAATAAAAATGGTGTGTATCAATGCTTTTTTTTTTATAAAAAAATCCATACTGTAAATAATTGTACAAGTTATAAGTGATTTTTTGTCAAATTTTGTACAAATTGTAATTTGTACAAGCACTTTTTGTACAAATTACAATTTGTACAAAGTCAAAATACAAATTATAATTTGTACAATTTGTTTGTACAAATTATAATTTGTACAAAATGATAACTTGTACACAACATATATATATATATATATATCTTTACGACAGATAATTAAGCTAATCTGCAATCCATTCCATCTTCATGCCTAATATATCATGTATTGTATTACAACTCTAGATTCTACTGACGAGGAAAGGTAACATTAGGCCACCGAAAGCTGAATTTTTTAGTTCAGTCTAGGTGGCCTAGTGGTCTAGAGCGCTGGACACAGTGCAGGTGGTGTTGTCACGATATCCCAATAGCATGAGTTCGAATCCCGGCGAGAGAAGAACAAAAATTTGCTTCCGCAAATTTGCAGATTTAACATTGTTGTGCTGATATTTAGAGTAATTATATACATATACCGATATACTCAAACAAAATATCTTCATGTAATCATGAGGGAGAAATATTTCATTTGACTTTTTTTCACACTCTGCAGCTCAAAAGACTCTTGACTGTCCTTAAAAAATGAAGAGTTTTTTTCTTCAGTCTTCTTTAAATACTTTAAACTAAAGGCCCTAACATGTTTCCACCATTTCAATTTTTTCTGATTATTGTGAAAGAGTGGAAGAAATGATATTTGTTCTGCTCTGCAGACAGTTCTGCCAAAGGTCAGTGGTTCTTTAAGACATTACGGCTTCCTCCATCAATAAAAACTGATTGCCATGAAAAAGCCAATACTGCTGAAAGTGGTGCTAAACACCAATCAGTCAATCATTTCTCAGGTGTCAGTCCCAAATAATCTAAATATATGTTTACAGTAATGATATGCATGTCAATGTACATTTCTATTCTAATCTTTTTATCCATATGGAATAGTATCAAAACTTCTATGTGCAAAGAGGCATAACTCTTTCACCAGGATACCCTACTAATACATGTACCCACATCTTTGTATTAGGATATAACAATGTAGTAAGTTTCATTAAATTCTGATGAATCATGTAGGAGTAGTTGTGTCCACAAAGTTCATACTGAAGAGAATGAAAATTATCTAAGTATTCTGGGATTATCAGGATATCTAACTTATATGCACATAATATAATTCTGGAAATACTAAATGGCCTGAGAACACAGTTATTTCGTAGTGCATTTCTTTTAGACAATAAATTCAAATTAAAAAAATCGCACCTGCTCTATCTCAAAAAGATTTTTACAGTGTAGTGTACTACTATTGATACAAATAATATCAAAATTATAGAAACTTCTACCAGCTCTAACTCAAAATATTGACAATTCTGTGTTAAGGGGGGCTAAAATTCAGTTTGACAGCTTCAGACATTCTAATTTTTGACCTTTTTTAACTGGACCAAATCACTACTTAACATAAAGATTCAGCACCCAAATTTTTTTAACATGTAATGTCATCCCCTTACTCAATATTTCATGCATAAAATATCAAGAAATAAATTGGGAAAGTGTATCAAAAAAAAAATGCAAGTTATACACTGTTCACACTAGGGACTATATTTGTAGACAACGAAAACCAAAGGACGATAACTGTGTCCTTGGACCTAATAGGATAGAAAGACTTGACCAATTTTAATAAAACTTGGCATGACCTAAGCTTAGGCAATTATAAGATAGTTGGCCAAGTTTCATGGCCATAGGATATATATTATAGAAACTAGGGCCATTTTAATATTGTAATTTGGATGTTTATTTTTGACGTTTAAATCAAATATTTTCAACTGTCAAGATTTTGGCCTAAAAAATTTAAATATTGCAAAAATTTGCTTTTTAAATACTCTTGAATTTAATATAATAAGTATTAAAAGCAACGGAACACTCATTTGATTTATCAGATTTATTACAGTTATTCAAAAGTCAAATTTATATGAGCCTGTGCCTGAAAATAGAGATTTTCGAATTAAGGGAAGCCTTACATAAACATGCATTTTTTTCAACCAATTTGAAGTTTTTGAAGTTTTTTAACCATACATTATTCTTCCATATATATTAAATGTACTTTGAATATAAAGAAAAGTTACAAAAAGCATACCACATGAGTATAAAATGGTCTTAGGCCATGTAAGACTGAGAATTATTTAGAGTCGATTTAGGCCGTAGCCCATATTTACATATAAAAATGCACACAGAGGCTATAAGAAATTGAAATTTGTTACTTTTTGCTCATTTCTATGCTAAGATGTCATGATACAAGAAGTCTAATTGCAAAAGGACTCTTGAATTCAACTTTTTTTTGCAGACAGTATGGTCTGATGACCAGTTTTTCACTTTTCAATGCAAAACTTGCATGTAGTTTTAGTCTCATTTGGCATATATTTGAACCACTTACTATCCTAAAGAAGAAAATTATGGTAGCATATGAAATGAATAGGGTGTACTGATCATTGTAAAGTGTTTTTTTTTACAGATTTAGTGAAATATTTGTGATGGACTACAGATTTTATGTACAAAGCTCTTCACATTTCACATACATCAAACAGGCCGTTTAACAAGGGACATAAATACAAATATTCTGCACATTTTTTCTGTGATAATCTACTTTTCTCTAGATTCCGAGTTCACAAATGGTTAATTAAATTTGATTTAAGCATAGAAACACAAATATCAGGAACATAAAAAGCTGTCAGATAGAAAGTCAGCATGGCTCTTAGGCATAAAATGGAAACTGCTTTAAAATGCTTATTTTAGCCGTATAATGCCAAAATGGGACATTTTAACAGAATTTCTGTCAAACAAAGATGTAAATCCTTTACTTTTATTGAGTTTGACAAATTGAAACCAACAAACCATTCAGGAAAGTTGCAAAAGTACAGAATCTACATTTACGGAATTCATCTCTTAGGCCCGAGAACACAGTTATTTCGTAGTGCATTTCTTTTAGACAATAAATTCAAATTAAAAAAATCGCACCTGCTCTATCTCAAAAAGATTTTTACAGTGTAGTGTACTACTATTGATACAAATAATATCAAAATTATAGAAACTTCTACCAGCTCTAACTCAAAATATTGACAATTCTGTGTTAAGGGGGGCTAAAATTCAGTTTGACAGCTTCAGACATTCTAATTTTTGACCTTTTTTAACTGGACCAAATCACTACTTAACATAAAGATTCAGCACCCAAATTTTTTTAACATGTAATGGCATCCCCTTACTCAATATTTCATGCATAAAATATCAAGAAATAAATTGGGAAAGTGTATCAAAAAAGAAATGCAAGTTATACACTGTTCACACTAGGGACTATATTTGTAGACAACGAAAACCCAAGGACGATAACTGTGTCCTTGGACCAAATACTAAATGTAGAAAGAATCTGTAGTGCTGCAAAATTGAAATATCATAATGTGTTATTGTATTATTTAGTTTATTTGGACCACAACTTTAGAAAAAAACTGTAGGGTTTACAGTGGTTCAAATCCCTCATTTGTAAGACAGTCATCTTAGTTCCAATTTACTGATTATGTATAGTAAAGAAGGATGTAGCTGTGTATTCAAACATTCCATACAGCCTAACATACTCCCCATAGCAAGAGTAACTGCAAAGGCCAGATAGACAAACTATCCTATTGACTTTTTTCATATCACATCCCATGTAAACCCAAAGCTAAGACTGTAGGTTTGATGTTTATTATTGTGGATTTACTATTAGGTGTCATGTGATATGGGTATACCCAAAAGGTGTCATGTGATATGGGTATACCCTAAAAGGTGTCATGTGATATGGGTATACCCCAAAAGGTGTCATGTGATATGGGTATACCCAAAAAACTTTTTTTTTTACTTGTTTGCACTTCTTTGTCTTACAAAAGGATATCATGTATAAAGGTGATGAAAAATTATTTACATGTAAGTTATTTCATAATTTTGTATGTTTTTCAAATCTTACCCCCCATAGTTTATTTGAGTTTTTTCATTTAACTTTATATAATTAACACATAGCTGAGAGGGTGATAGAGCAGATTGTTAACCTGAGAAAACATTGTCAACAGAGGCAAAGCCAAAGTTGACAATGTTTTTTCAAAGGATAACAATCTCCTCAATCACCCTTTCAGATGTGTATTATTTCATTTATTATACTGAATGTTCTGTTATCAGTCTAGTAAATTGAAAGTAAAAAACTATGACATCCTGTATATAACAACCATCAATATTAAATAAAAGGCACAACAGATCAAGTGTCTCCACAAAGGGTAATAGAACACATGTATAAGCCATGTGATAGAGTCAATTATCACTCTCATAGTAACCGATCAAAATCTGGCATTTTGACATGAAGTATAATAAGATGTATTTACAACCTTACTCCTCATCAGAAGCCATTGTGGATGTTATGTCAAAAGTCTTTTTTACAGTTAAAATGACTTATTTTTAACCTTACCCATCATCAGAAGCCATGGTAGATATTGAACCCGGAAGTGGTTTCTCTCCATCTCTATACTCCTCAGCTGATCTCACTCGATCAGGGTAGCCTAGCAACCCAGACGTAAAATGTAATTCAACTTCATGTTCTTTTTGTCCTGCCAAATATCTGAATAAGGGAGAACATTGAGTTAAAAGCATAATATCCTTTTTCTGACAAATCATCAACATTTTTCATGCATTTAATCTTTTTTTTAATTTTTATTGTTCATCATGGAATATAATGTAGAGTATAAAATAATATATAAAATATCCAATATGAAAATAACTTATGCATTTTGATATTAAAAAGTTTGCTTTGTCCCCAAAGTATGCCCTGAAAGCATCATATAATCGTTCAAAAGGCTATGAAAGTAAAACTTAATTTCAATGTGAAAATGTAACTGGCATTGCCTACAGATTCATCTAAGGTTTAAAACTCACCAATTTTGAATAACTATTCTATAAAGGAATATTTTAACAAAGTTTTTAAACAGTTAAGAGTACACTTAAGTTCATCATTATATAGTGCAATTAATATATACCTAGGAAGCTTTATAATTTCAAAGTAGAGATTAGACATCCAGTGGTCCAGATCTGATGCCATTAGTTCTTCTATTTTGTCATGTTTGTCTAATATGGGATCCATTTCTCCACGCAACATTGGACATCTATACCTGAAAAATTTATAAGAAGCATATATATTATATTTAGTTATCACAAAATACAACACTAGTACATCTATAATCATGATAATACCACCCAATCAGCACCTTGAAAGTGGTCTTATAATGGGGTTTGTCTGAAAGAAGGTATATTTGATTAGTAGATTAAAATACACCTGTGACGTAAATCTTTTGTTCAAACTCTCCATTATTTTTCAGGAATGGAGAGTTATTTTCTATTGTTCGTCTTCATTCATCAGGACGTTTTGTCCTTAGGATATTTCCATGGACACTTTCTTAAAAAGTGTTCACCCATGGAAATAGTTATAAAGGACGTAACGTGATATTGAGTGAAGATGAAATCTTACTAAAACGACTGATACTGGATTTTTTTAAATTGCGATTATAATAATACAATGAACACTAAATATCTCATTATTAACAAACAGCTTTTATTTGCGAGTCGAAATTCCATCGTTTAAAATATAGTATCGTATTCACTAAAATTTAACAATTTAATCCACAATTTGTTTTCCGATGCAAATCTTGGCTGAATTTTTGTCACGGATAGTATCCAAGTGGGTAAAAACGAATATTTTCCATTGAGTCCCATTCCTCTTGTGTGCATCTACAAAATATCAAATGTGTTGATGAATTCTATTGTAATATTGAACACAATAACATTATTCAATAATGAAAGTAAAGAGAAAAATATATTTCACATAAAGATTTGATATTAATTTTACCGTTTAAGATATCATTTCCTTGAAATATTTTGATTTTGTACAGCAAAAATTGTTTGTTGCATTTATAAATATATATATAAATTAACAAGAGTGCACACGCTGAAATGTCTCGCCTTCTTTACTAATCATTGATATTATGTTGATAGACCTAAATATAAAGCTTTATTACAACTGTCACATAAACTTAACATTAACCAAGTAAACTAAACATTGACCAATGAACCATGAAAATGAGGTCAAGGTCAGATGAACCATGCTAGGCAGGCATGTACAGCTAACAATTCTTCCATACAACAAATATAGTTGACCTATTGCTCATAGTTTAAGAAAAACAGACAAAAACACAAAAACTTAACACTGAGCAATGAACCTTGAAAATGAGGTCAAGGTCAATTAAAACCTGTGTGACTGACATATAGATCATAAATTATTTCCATACACCAAATATAGTTGAACTTTTGCATATAGTATTAGAAAAAAAGACCAAAACTCAAAAACTTAACTTTGACCACTGAACCATGAAAAAATGAGGTCAAGGTCAGATGACACCTGCCAGCTAGACATGTACACCTTACAATCATTCCATACACCAAATATAGTAGACCTATTGCATACAGTATAAGAAAAACAGACCAAAACACAAAAACTTAACTATAACCACTGAACCATGAAAATGAGGTCAAGGTCAGATGACACCTGTCAGTTGGACATGTACACCTTACAGTCCTTCCATACACCGAATATACTAGACCTATTGCTTATAGTATCTGAGATATGGACTTGACCACCAAAACTTAACCTTGTTCACTGATCCATGAAATGAGGTCGAGGTCAAGTGAAAACTGTCTGACGGGCATGAGGACCTTGCAAGGTACGCACATACCAAATATAGTTATCCTATTACTTATAATAAGAGAGAATTTAACATAACAAAAAATCTTAACTTTTTTTTCAAGTAGTCACTGAACCATGAAAATGAGGTCAAGGACATTGGACATGTGACTGACGGAAACTTCGTAACATGAGGCATCCATATACAAAGTATGAAGCATCCAGATCTTCCACCCTCTAAAATATAAAGCTTTTAAGAAGTTAGCTAACGCCGCCGCCGGATCACTATCCCTATGTCGAGCTTTCTGCGACAAAAGTCGCAGGCTCGACAAAAACTCAAAAATTACTCGGAGAGTGTCTACAATAATATTTAATAGAATAAATAGTCCAAGAAACTGAAATGGTCAAAATGGTGTATTCGGTATTTTATTTGATTGTTCGTTGTTATAATTTAAATATAGCAGTAATGAAAACAATTTGAGGGGGTATGTATAACATTTGGATAAGGCTTGTGTTAAAAATTGGGCATGGTTTTTATTCAATTTTCAACAGAAACGCGTAACATAATCGAATTCATTGACTGTTGTTATATGTCCAGTGGCAAATATAACAGTTATATCGGCAGTGCAAATAAACGGCGTTAATCTTGAAATAATTGTTTAAATGAAATTAAAAGGTAGTTGTCCATGCAGATTTTTTTTCTAAAACTTGTTTGCTTCCTTTCTGAAAAGGCAGTGGCGGATCCAGAAATTTTCATGAGGGGGCCCACTGACTGCCTAAGATGGGGCCGCTCCAGTCATGCTTCGATGATTTCTTATATAATCAACCAAATTTTTCCCACAAAAGGGGGGTGGCCCCCTGAGCCCCCCTAAATCCGCCTCTGATAGGGAAGAATGAAAAATACTTTCAGTTTGCTTGTATTGCTATTTAAAAAAAGCATAAAAGTTTTGTTTGTTGTAATTAGCTAAGGCAAAGACGAAATGTTGGGTTGTGCATGAAATACTGTTTTCTTGTTTCATTTTATCTGTTTATTTCATCGAATAAAAATGGTTTGAAATATAGAATCACATTTTGTTTTCGATATGACTTAAAATCAAGCACACCTTTATTAGTTAAATAACCTATACTAGAGTGTTACATACCTGGAAATTCATTCTAGTTGTACCATTTCACTTTTTTTAATATTTAAGGTTTATATACCTATATGGAGTTATTGTCTTTCAGAACCATAGGTAATTCTTTTTCAGAATCAACCCGGACGATACCATGTTTCAATGAAATATGCTCCAAGGCATAAAATAATGACCTATCTGAGGTCATTATTTTCCTGTTTAAAAATGCAATCTATAACTTACCTCAAAATCATATTCGTCTGATAGTTTTTTTGTTGCCGATTTGGGAATTTATTTTTTAAAGTTCAATCAATGATAGGTGTAAAAAAATTATCATTGCCCACATTTTAATTTTAGAAACATATAACGTGAAGTTTTGTTAATTTATCGCTACAATACAGAAACATTATCATATATGTGAGATGAATTGTAGTGTAGACTTCCATGAAATAAAGCCAGATTTAACATATTCGTGTGTAAGATTTTGAAATTCTTATTGAGGAACACTGAATAGGTTGATTGATTGTTGGTTGCTTAACGTCCAGTGGCAAATATTTCATGCATTTTCAGTGAACTTATACATCTTTGGATTTCAAATGTTTAGCTTTGAGCGTTCCTGATGAAGGTAAATCCAGAAAAGCGCTTCGGACGCAAGAAATTATTTAACGTGTTGTTTTCAATTTTCAGGACGATACACACTGAATAGGAAATCATACTGTGACCTGCATGTATTTATATTCGTCTTCATGTCAGTTCTTAACTTTTTTAAATTTATGTATACCTTTTACTCTATCTAATGATCAACTATTAAAAGAATAATATTCACGAAACTCACAAAAGGGGCGGATGGGGAGGGTATATAGTTATATACTGATTATCTGTTAAAAAATGTATTGCTATTCAAAAGACAATCTTTCTGAATATAACATTCCATTCATATAAAATTGTTGAAAAAAATAACCACTTTTCCGCGGTAGAAATGTCATTAGAAATGGAAAAAAAAACATAGCCCCCCCTTTCCATAAACTTAGTTGGTAGGATAAATTACTTACAATGTGTCTTGTATTTGTCATACACTGTTTTCGAATGGTAACCATTCATTTGTGTCCTTCTTCATGCAGTTACAGTAATATTTTTATTATGTATGGATAATAATTTCAAAGGTTTATATCTAGATTAATTAGTGAGTTTTATTTCACATTCTAAATGAGCCGTAGGGCGTATTTAAAGCTGAACGCATTAGAAAGGAATATCCCACTTGAGTGTGGTCGGTAAAATTGGATGCTAAATTTTGCAAATCATTATAAAAAATAATATTTTTTTGACGGTATATAAGTCAGATAATGCATATTTTAAGGTTTTTCTTGTCGTAGAACACACCTCGGGGTGTCAGGATTGCACAAAGAAAGACCTCCCTACGGTCGGTCTTTCATTTGACCAATCCTGACACCCCTCGGTGTGTTCTACGACAAGAAAAACCTTAAAATATGCATTATCTATAACGTATTTTAAGTTAGCGAAAGTCCAAATAACTGTCCATTCCTGGGAAATAATGGGCGTCGGCCCTACGGGCCTCCGCTCCATTATTTCCCAGGAATGGACAGTTATTTGGACTTTCTCTATAACTTTCTGACCAACTAAGTATTATTAAAAGTGATGGAAATCAGTCAGATTTTTCAAATGGATGATCCTTGAATGAACATTGTCCGAATATCCATGGCTATGAATTTCATTTACTGACAGTCAAACCAGATTGATGATGGTTTAAATATATAAGTTATGTGAAAATGGTAATTTCCTTCAAGTTTTGTACCATAAACTGATATGCAAATGTATTTTTTTAATGATTTTTTGATAATAAATAAGTTTCTTTGTGAAGGCCAGGGCAGTCCCTGATATTCTCAAAATAGTAAAAATAAAAAACATCATTCAAACATTCAGATTATTCTACTCCCAGGTGTAGGACGCCTTAGCCAGATTTGGCACAACTTTTCAGAGTTTTTGGTTTTCAATGTTCTTCAATTTTGCAATTGACTTCGCCTTCAAATTATGTTACTTTAATGAGTCGTTTGTGAAGGAAAAAGTCTGGCATACCAAATTATAAAAGCCTGGTATCTTTGATGAGATTTTAGAACTACTGGGTCAATGCTACTGCTGGTTGGTGTTTTGTCCCTGGGGGTATCACCAGCCAAGTAGTCAACACTCCTGTGCTGCCATGAAATATCATTCATGTTGTCATTTGCTGTAAATTTTCTCTTCAAAGGGTAAAAGTGTAATGTCCATAGTCATCTGTGACACAGATATACCATAACAATCAATTTTGAAGAATTATATTCATATTTACACTAAATTCCCTTGGTTCTATAAAATTGGAAATACCACTATAGTAAAATTGAAGATCTCTTTTTCTATCTTGAAGTTAAGTTAACAGACTATCAACATGATCAATGTCAAATCTAGGTGACAGAGCTAACAGTATCTGTGATATCCTTTATCTAAAGTTCAATATGACAGAATTTTGTGTAAATTTTGACTACATTTAAAAAACGCTCACTTTCCCTCTATCACATCAAATTGGCCATCACAGATTGGAAATGAGCCCCATGCAACAACTCTGTCTTTTGCTACTACAGATCCTCTTAACAGGAAAAGTTCAAAGGTCAGTACCATACCAGGTCTCAGTGATGCTTTAGCGGGAAGAACTGTAAAAACACTCTGGTCCATCTAAAACAGAAATTTTAGTCTTGGATATAAATTACGTTCTTTCTTGAAAATAGTTTAAAAATTACTAACCTGCATGATATCAGTCTATTTGGGGATTTTGGTCTAATAATAAATCTGAAAGGTAATCTTAGAGCTCACAATTTTAAATTCAGTGCCACATGAAGCCTGTCACATGGTACAATAACAGTGCTTATATTTGTTATTCTTAAATAAGAGGTTCCACTCTGACTTATTTTAATTTTCATATGTCCCCTGCCACTACAGGTCAATTAAATGTTTTTAAAGAGTTCTGAAAAAAATATTTGTTTCATTCATTTATATTTTGACAAGTTAGATATTTTGACTTCAAATGTATACTTATTTATGGCATTTAAAGATGCTGGACCTCTACAGACATATTTTTTTTTAATAACCAGTGGTGACAAAACTACTTAATTTTTCCAAATTTTTGGACAAAAAAATGCCAAATTGTATACCCAGCTACAGGTTACATTATAAATCAATCACTAGGAGTGGGTTGGAGCCTTTGGTTAAGTGAACATTATACAATATTTAATGACAGAAAATTAATCAAAATGTAACAAATTGTTGCTAGAGCATTGACTACTGAGCAGATGATACAGTTAACAAGATGACAAACAAATAAGGTGTCATTTGAATCATGGGGAATAATTACCTTCATTTCCACATTATAGAATTGTCCATCATGATCTATGGGAAGTGTTGCAGCTCCCCACATCTGGCCTTTCAACTTTGACCATCTTAACACATGACCTCCAAGTCTGTTGTAAAGGGAAACCATTAACACATACCTTCCACCTGAAATTCAGTAAAACAAATCAATGTTTAGGAGTTTGGTGGAATGCAGTGAATTTTTTTCACAACAAAATAATGAGTCAAATTTGCAAAAAGCAGACCACTATACAGTAGTATTTATTAAGAAGATTGCAATGCAATTTTTCTTGAAAAAAAAGGAATACTTAGAGGTACAAATATATTTTAAAGTTTAAAAGAAAATTTACAGTAGCAGCCTTGCATAGATTTCACCTGTACTAAGGTTACATGTAATATATTATCCCTGTAATGATTTGTTGCTTTATATCCTTAAGGCTGTCAGCATACTTTATGAATTTATATACAGAACAAGAATATGACACCATGCCCTCTCAAAATATCACATTTCCATTTTCAAAAGAACTGGGAAATCTTGATTAAAACATCAATTTGGCAAACTTTTTAGAAATTAGACAAGTTTCAAAATTGATGTGACCACAACTTCATGTTAAACTACCTAAAACCTATACTATAACCTGATGTTGGGGAGAACGATGGTCGAACGGACGGATGGACAAAAAAATTGATGCATAGACTGAAAAAAATAATGCTACCATACAATTGTAGATTGAGCATAAAAATGTGATACACATTCTAACTTTGATGTCTGTATTTATTGCCACAATTTACTAACCGGGAAGCTTCTCTCTTACACCTCTCAGACATTTTAGTTTAACTTGAATAGGTTGTGGGGTTTTGTCCCAGTCAACCTTCCACCTTCGACCTTTACTTCCACCATAAGTGCCATCTGCCAGCATTAAATCACCATAAAATGTCTAAAATATATATTAAGGTAGAAAAAATGAGTATGAATAAGTAAATACCGTAGTTATAGCTGTAATATTTGTTTTTTCCCACAGAATCTGGATTCTGGATAATTCTGTTTGAAATGTTTCTAATTTTTAAAAATAAAGTTACATTAAAAATTATGGTGCTTTTTGGACTTTCGAAATCAGGATCCACTTTTATCTGATAACACATGCAGCAATTAATTTCCAAATTATCTTGCTGGACAAAACAGTTGCTCAAAGATGTCAAAGTGACCTTATTTTGGCAGTTATTATTCAATTGAGGCAGTTTGAGATCAGAAAATAAATATGTTAAAGATCAATGTAAAAATATTACAAATGACTGGATTAATAAACTTTTGATTTTAAAATTAGAATGGATAGAGAAACATAGTAATATTGTTATGCGTTTACTTTTCTACATTGGCTAGAGGTATAGGGGGAGGGTTGAGATCTCATAAACATGTTTAACCCCGCCGCATTTTTGCGCCTGTCCCAAGTCAGGAGCCTCTAGCCTTTGTTAGTCTTGTATTATTTTTAATTTTAGTTTCTTGTGTACAATTTGGAGTTTAGTATGGCGTTCATTATCACTGAACTAGTATATATATTTGTTTAGGGGCCAGCTGAAGGACGCCTCCGGGTGCGGGAATTTCTCGCTGCATTGAAGACCTGTTGGTGGCCTTCTGCTGTTGTCTGTTCTGTGGTCGGGTTGTTGTCTCTTTGACACATTCCCCATTTCCATTCTCAATTTTATCATTAATTTGCCATTGCGTTATAAACCAACTTACTTTGACTTCCCCTTTACGACTCTCTAGTGTACTGATAAGTTGACTTTCAGCTCTTCTATAAGCTCTGTGTAGTCTGTCCATCAACAATTTCTCCTTTTGTCTCAGTATCTCCTGTAATTATTAAAAACTCTTGAAATGCAATGCTGACAATGCCTTATTACTTGTGAGCCTAATTTTTGCCAAACTAACATCCACTATCATTTCCTTATTTAATTTCTGTTCTAATGTTAACTATAACTAAGGCCAAAAAAAAATATATGTCTGTTTACGGTTACCCGACTGTCCCTATTTTGGGGTGCCGACCCTATGTCATTTTATTCAAAAATGAAATCAAAAGTGAAAGTACAAAGCCGAAAACACCTACTTTCAGTTTAAAATAAAAGTGAAAGTATGTGCGTGATCATCTGAGTGCTTTAATTTTAAAATCGCGTACTCAATATTGAAGTGTTTTTACGATCTAGATCTCAATGGCAGCCTGCATGGCCCAACATGCTGAGGCAGCAAGTGTGGTCGCATTAAAGTTAAAAAAATGCGACCACATGCTCACAAAATCTATTATGAGAACGTTACCAAACAAATTAATAATTGGTACCGATGTGTTTGATCTGTACCATAGTAAACAACCTGCAAAAACATACAAAGTAACGGTGACTTGCAAGACTGAAATTCAACAAGGTGACGGTTTTATTGTTGATGGGAACTTAACTGTTGGAGATGTTGTAGATAAATTCAATGTTTAATGTATAGAATTTTTATGTGAGAAGGAGATCAACAATAACTTGGTATCTATTGTCCAAACAGCGACAGACAATGCTACCAACACTGCAATAAATGTTTTTCAAGTTATGATGGCTGGAGGACGAGCACACCCAACTTTTTTTTAAATATTAAAAGACATCTGACATCACCCTATTGACACCTATCCCTGCAAATATATTTCAAACCAGGAATTGAACCTGTTAAAACAGGCATGTTTTTTTTTTCTATTTATTAATTCTGCAGGTAAGTGTCAGTACTTGCAGAGGTTAGCCAAATACTGACAGATAGATAATTTCAGACTAACCTCCCATTAATAAATGTTAATACCACACATTTAATGATATGTATGGTCTGCAGGGGTGTCTACTCTTTATTTCTTCTAAAAAACACAGCACCAAACTTGTGACTGTGAGCAATGTTCCTGGGAAGGTTATTTATTATGGTATAAAAGAATTAAATTTCTTAACAGTTTAATGCATCGAATTTGCAACAGTGAAAGAAACATTCTTTAATACAAGGAGTTGGTACAACCCCCAAAACTTGAACCAGTACGTTCATATGTATAAGACAAATGCAGGTTTTGTCATCTTTCCTCGTTTCTGATGGGTCTTCTTGTTTTATATATATTGATTGTTCATACACCAGTACAGCATAATGAATTTATTTCTGCATATATGCCTGCATACATGTACATTAATAAACCTATATATTAGAAAGGACAAAACAATTTATTTTAAGTTTATATGACAGTAAAAAGTTAATATAGTCACTTAATATTAGTTAAAACAATATGTAACAACATCACACATCTCGCCAAAAAAAAAAATAAAATGGAAATACCTACCTACCCATTTTTTTAAAGGATATAACCTTAAACAGACATATATTTTTTTTTGGCCAAAAGGTAATAATGTCGTTTATTACAATCTCTTTATGATAACATCTAACATTTCCTGGATCTAGACAATAAAGCAATACCTGTAGGTTTGTGTTTAAAAATCAATATAAAATGAAGGTAAAAAGCTACTGTACTAGTGTTAAAACATATTACATTTCTTCAGATCCCAAAAATTTCCTTTAATTTAATACCTCTCTCCTAGCGATGTCATCTCTCTTCTGTTTAGTAAGTAAAGCTAATCTTTTCTTTGCTTCTTCTTCACGTTGTAACACCTCCTCTTGAAGGTCTCGTTTTCTTTTGGCCTCTTGATCAAGGTATCTATAAAAGTTTATTCAATGCAATATTTGAAAGCAAGCTTTAACTTTAATACATTAACTTTATGTAAACAATTCAGCTGGCAACAATCAAAATTAGTTTGCTCCAATAATACTATTTCTAAAAAATTTGTTTCTTTCTCGCTACATTAATCAAAATGATGCAAATGGGTACATTGTAAAGGATTTGAGGCTGGTATAAATTTAAGACACTATATTATATATACAACCAAACATCAGGGTTAGCACAGATGGGAAAACCAGGGTCCTGGTGTTGACAGGCTAGGCAATAATCCCAGAAACAGCAAATACTGGGCAATATGATTTTTAAGCTAATTTTTCAAAAAATAGTTAAGACAACTTGTAGTTTCATAGTATTATTGCTAAATATCAGGGATGTCAACTAAATGAAGAATTATTTATCAAGTACTCGTTGGTTTTACTGAGCTTTACTCACGCACTATGAAATAAACACACAGAGATATGTCTCACCTGCCAGCATAAAATTCAGAAAAAGACAATCTGAATGACAGCAACATTTCTAAAATTAATTCTAAGTCACTGGACCATAAACCAGTTGGCAGGGCCTCGAAATGGTAGACAAACTGAGATGTACAGACAGTTATGTAACTTTACAGAAAATATCATTGTTTATCGTAAGCAGTTCCTATCAAACCAACTCAAGCAGAAAACTTAACATTGAAAATTGATAATTAATTCAGTCACTGGACCTAGGGTGCAGGGCTTCAAATAGTTGTCAAACTGATATGAACTGATGGTAATGCAACTTCATACAAAATATCATTGATTTATCATTAGTAGTTCCTATCAAACTAACTTGAGCAAAAAACTTAACATTGCAAATTGCTAATTCATTGACAGTCACAGGACCATGACCTAGGGGGCAAGGCTTCAAAACAGTCATCAAACTGATATGTACTGATAGTAATGCAACTTTGTACAAAATATCATTGATCTATCACAATTAGTTCCTGTCACACTAACTTAAGCAGAAAACTTAACAATTGTTGACACTGACAACGTTTCTGGAAAAGCAACACATATGTCTCGCCGGCCGCAATTTTTGTCGCACACAAGACAAATAGGATAAAATGTTCTCACAAGAATCTGATTAGACGAGTACTATTTTGGTATTGGATACTTGGTATTATCAAGCAATACTGGAGTATTTGATTTCTCATTGACATCCCTATTAAATACTTTTTACATAAACACTGAAAGTCATTTTCAGAGGATAAAAAATAATTTTGTTCCTTTCCTCTCTTATAATTCTATATCAGCAGAATAGAAGTTTTGCATATTTTTGGATACTGTAAACCAACTTATTTTTGTAAGTATTTTATTTTTGCATGAGTAATAAAATGCTCCGCTGGGCACAGCTTGATACGACCACAGAGGTCGAACCCTGAACAGTTGGGGCAAGTATGGACACAACATTCAAGCTTGATACACACTGAATTTGGATTGTGATTAAATATTTGACACAGCATAGGTTTCTGACACAGAATGAATGTGGTCTAAGAACTTATAAATTATTAATTGACCTATTCAAACCATATCATTATTATTTGCTTTTACATATAAATTAGAAATAACCAATTTAAAATGGAAAATTTTAAAGAAAATAAAAGGGGAAAAAAAATCCCTCCCCCCAAATTCTTTGAACCCCCTTATGATTCATCACCCCCAAACTCAATCTAAGCCTTCCCTTTATGGTATGGTACCTTGCAGTACAATTTCAGAGAGATCCATACATTTGAACACAAGTTATTGTCTGGAAACTAGAAAAATGCTTGTTTTTTTGCCCCTTTTTGGCCCCAAATTCCTAAACGTTTACGGCAATTCCCCCAAACTCAAACCCAGCTTTCCCTTTGTGATATGGAACCTTGTAGTACAATTTCATAAAGATCAATACACTCACACACAAGTTATTGTCATGAAACTAGAAAAATACTTGTTTTTTGCCCCTTTTTTGGCCCCTAATTCCTAAAATTTTGAGGCAATTACCCCCAAAATCAATCCCAGCATTCCCTTTGTGATATGGAACCTTGTAGCAAAATTCCATAAAGATCCATACACTTGAACACACTTTATTGTCTGGAAACTAGAAAAATGCTTATTTTTGGCCCCTTATTCCTAAACGTTTTGGGCAATTACCCCCAAACTCAATTCCAGCTTTCCCTTTGTGATATGGAACCTTGTAGTACAGTTTCAGAAAGATCCATACACTTACACACAAGTTATTGTCATGAAACTAGAAAAATGCTTGTTTTTTGCCCCTTTTTTTGCCCCTAATTCCTAAAATTTTGAGGCAATTACCCCCAAAATCAATCCCAGCATTCCCTTTGTGATATGGAACCTTGTAGTATAATTTCATAAAGATCCATACACTTACACACAAGTTATTGTCCTGAAACTAGAAAAATGCTTGATTTTTGCCCCTTTTTGGCCCCTTATTCCTAAAATTTGAGGCAATTACCCCCAAAATCAATCCCAGCCTTCCCTTTGTAGTATGGTACCTTGCAGTACAATTTCAGAGAGATCCATACACTTGAACACAAGTTATTGTCTGGAAACTAGAAAAATGCTTATTTTTGGCCCCTTATTCCTAATTGTTTTGGGTAATTACCCCCAAACTCAATTCAAGCTTTTCCTTTGTGATATGGAACCTTGTAGTACAATTTCAGAAAGATCTATACACTTACACACAAGTTATTGTCATGAAACTAGAAAAATGCTTATTTTTTTCCCCCTTTTTTGGCCCCTAATTCCCAAAAGTTTGAGGCAATTACCCCCAAAATCAATCCCAGTATTCCCTTTGTGATATGAAACCCTGTAGTACAATGTCAGAGAGATCCATAAACTAACACACAAGTTATGTCTGGAAGTTACAAAAATGCTTATTTTTTTACCCTTTTTGGCCCCTAATTCCTTAACTGTTGGTACCATAACCCCCAAACTCAATCCCAACCTTCCTTTTGTGGTATTGAACCTTATGGTAAAATTTCATAAAGATCCATTCACTTAAACTAAAGTTAAGAGTGTGAAAACCAATGTGTCTTTGGACGACGATGACACCGACAACAACGCCAACATCATACCAATATACGACCACAAAATATTTTGCGGTCGTATAAAAACTAGCATGAATATAAAAAAAAATCATCACAAATATTTAAAACATAGATCTTCCCTTACATAAATACATCAAGAAAATTTCAAAATTATGAAAAAATAAATCGATGCGAAGTCAGCTAGAAAAGGCTAATCAGGAAATAAAATATCTGCTAAAATAGTTGATTGACAGTAACTGGTTTATCTTCAAGCTTTGTTTGAATCAATCCAAAGTTTTAAAATGCATTTTAGTTCAGTGTATTAGTGAAATGTAAAATTTATTTGATATACAATCATATTGCTAAATAAACACCTTAAGCAGACATGTCAACCCCACTTATAGTGATAAAAGGCTAGTTATTGTATTATAAACAAATCTGTCTTATACCTGAAAAACTACTTATTTATAAGAATGTACATGTAAAAGAATGTTAAATTGTGTCAACAGTTTTAAGCAATGAACACAAAATTTTATATAAAATAAGGAGACGTGGTATGATTCCCAATGACAAAATGAATGAGACAGCTATCCACCAGAGACTAACTCTTTCTAGGACATTTTTACAAATGTTTACCACCAGGATTAATATAAAAAATACTTGAGGTATCTATGACCTAAGGCTGATGAATAATTCTGATCATTAAACACTTTGCACCATTCCATTCACAAAAGCTAATCTTTTGAAGAGTATCTGAATTTTTAAATGTGAAGCATTCTAATGGGATTACTGTGAAAGATTCCAATTGATTTTTTAAGATCAGAAGAATAATTTCAATTTACTAACTCAATATGTTCATCTCGGAGTCTTTTTTCTTCTTCTTGGACTTCTTCAAGAGAAATCTGACCTAGCATAACTACTTCATCTTTAACACCTTCTTCAAAATGATCGAGATATGGATCTAACTCAGACTTCTCAATCTGCAGTTTTAATTCTGAAAAATAGAAGCTAAATTTACCCAAACTAGTATTTCTTAAAGCTTAACATAGTTCTTATATATGAAAACACTAAAATATCTTGCATGCTTTACTAATCATTATTGATTTTATGCTGAAAGGTTAAGCAGAGCTCCAGATAAGAATTACAAATTGGGGTTTTTACCCATAATTTTTTACATAAATCAGTGAAATATGTTTTCATTTGCATCATCCTCCAGACAAAGAATCAATTGGGTTTTTCACCAACAAGCTCCTGAATATGTTGGATTTTACAACACAACATTCCTGAATCTATTGGGCTTTTTTCATCATCAAGTTATTGAATTGAGACATGTTTTACACTAGTAATTTTTGGGGCCCTTTATAGCTTGCTGTTCGGTGTGAGCCAAGGCTCCGTGTTGAAGACCGTACTTTGACCTATATTGGTTTACTTTTATAAATTTTGACTTGGATGGAGAGTTGTCTCATTGGCACTCATACCACATCTTCTTATATCTATTATTAATGTCACAAATCTTAAATAAATTTCATTGAAGTATATATGTGATAGCTATTTCATTTGGTACATGTATATACACTGTTGAGCAAGTATTTTTTCTTAATTTATTTTATTTTGGTTTAATAAAGTTTTCCTGTCAGTTTTGTATTTGAATGACCAATAGGCACTATAGATAAAATCACATAGTGATTGAAAACAAACAGAAATTGGTAAAGTGTGCACAAGGTTAACAAATGTACATGTACTGAACCATCTGAATGGTCTGGATGCATACAGTTAAAATCATTTTTAACAAAAATGTAAAAGACACTTTCGACAACCAGATTTAGGTTTTCTTTTGGCATTACACCCTCTGGCCTTATTTACTTTCTGATTCATATTTTCAAGGTCACAATCCACAGGGAGACATGTCACACAGACACATTATTCTGACTTCGAGCTGATCAGTCTTTGCTTTCCCTTCTAAATGTCTAGTGCTAAGTAAGGAAGCATCAAATATCAATTTTCAACTCTTTCGTTTGACTAGTCGGGATTTGAACCACAATCTCCTGCACTAAATGTGAAAACACTAAGGTGGTTACTGTGCCTCAGAATGCTGGTTTATTGTCATATTATTCCATACGCTATACAATTTGAGCGCTAACGATGCTTTCTTCCTATCTCTTTGACTCATCTAGTGGTCAGGCAAAGGAAACTTTATTAACTGGTGCCTGTTGTTTACTAGGGATACAAAATTTGTGAAAAGGGCAAACAATTTAGAAATTCCAACAGAGACCCAGTTAGCTATTTGATTGAGTGCTCTAATTTTAGAATGAAAGTAAATTTCCCAATATTACCAAAAAGATAAATTACACGACAACAATTTATCAATTAGGGTAAATTATGTTCTCAACAGTGGTTAGAAAGGTCAAGAATGCATAGTTTTGATATTTAATTTGGTTCTCCTTTGCATGAATTGGGTTTTTTGAACGCTTAAATTGACAAATGCATTGGGTTTTTGATTGTTTTATTGTGCAATCAAGTAAATGCACAGCTTATCTGGAGCTCTGCATGTGTTTTGGTCTCGTAGACTTTCTATCTTCTTACCTGAAATCTTCGTATAACTTAGTTTGTGAATTGGTCCAGTAAACTTTTTTATTTTCTTACCTGAAATCTTGGTATAACTTAGTTTGTGAATTGGTCCAGTAAACTTTTTATTTTCTTACCTGAAATCTTGGTATAACTTAGTTTGTGAGTTGGTCCAGTAAACTTTTTCATTTTCTTACCTGAAATCTTAGTATAACTTGGAATGTGTGTTGGTCCTGTAAAAAGTGCTGGAGGGTCGTCTTTTGCCTCCAAGTCAGTTTGGCCATCCTCTAATGAGTCCATCAGTCTACGTAGGTCTGGTAATGTGTCATCTCTTTGTGGCGGTTCTAAAATACAAGTGTATTATAAGAAGGACACTAAATGATCCAGTGAGAAATGACTGAAAAGTCTCATGTACATATTTTGACATTTTATTCACCAAAAAAGTATGTAAAATCTGCTTTTAATTTTCAATTAAACTTTCCTCATGGGAGACATAAAATAATATATCATATTCAAATAACTTTAATTCACTGTTGAAGAATGTACTATTCAAAGAAGATGCCTCAATATTGTACATAAAATGCACTACTATAGATACTGAATTTTTTCCCATGAACACAGTTTTCAAATGAAAAATGAAACTGGCAATTTCATCATAAACAACTTATGTCACTCATTAAATAACAAAATCACAAACTTATATATTTTTAGTGTTTGGCATATTTTTAAAGTTTACGATTGTATGTGGATAATTATTAAAACCATGCTGATATGTCTCGCCTGTTTTACTTATGATTGAATTCATGTTGAAAGTCTGTAATATGAAGGTTTTACTACAACTATCACATAATCTTAACATTATCAATGATCCCTGAAAATGAAGTCACAGTCAGATGAACCATGCCAGACAGGCAAACTAGTTTAACCCCGCCACATTCTGTATGTGCCTGTCCCAAGTCAGGAGCCTGTAATTCATTGGTTGTTGTTTATTGCTGTGTAAGATATTAGTTTTTCATTCATTATTTTGTACATAAATTAGGCCTTTAGTTTTCTTGTTTAAATTGTTTTACATTTATCATTCCATGTAGTTATAGCTGACTATGCGTAATGGACATTGCTCATTGTTGAAGGCCGTACGGTGACCTATAGTTGTTAATTTCTGTCATTTGGTTTCTTGTGGAGAGTTGTCTCATTGGCAATCATACCACATCTTCCTATTTCTATATGTACACCTACATGTAACAATCATTTCATACACCAAATATAGGGGTCCTATCACTTATAGTACCTCAGATACAGATCAAACAACAAAATCTTAACATTGACCAATGAACCATGAAAATGAGGACAAGGTAAAATGAACCCTGCCAGACAGACATTTACACATTACAATCATTCCATACACCAAATATAGTTGACCTTTCATTTATACTAACTGATAATCTGACATACCACAAAAACCTATCATTGACCAATGAACTATGAAAATGAGGTCAAGGTCATATGAAACCTGCCAGACAGACATGTACACCTTACAATCATTCCATACACCAAATACATTGGCCCTACTGGTTATAGTATCTGAGATATAGACCAAACCATAAAAACTAAACATTGTCTAATGAACCATGAAATTGAGGTCAAGGTGTGATGAAACCTGCCAATCGGAAATGCACACCTTACAATCATTCCTACAGTATCTGAGAGCCAGACTTGACCACATAATTTTTACCTTGAACACTGATCCATGAAATGAGGTTAAGGTCAGGTAAACCCTACCTGACAGACATGTAGACCATGCAAGGAACCCATATACCAAATATAGTTATCATATTACTCATTATAAGAGAATATTTTACTCTTCCAAAAAACAGTATTTTTTTCAAATAGTCACTGAACCATGTAATGAGGTCAAGGACAATGGACATATGATAGATGGAAACTTCATAACATAAGGTATCTGCATACAAGGTATTTCTACCTTCTGAAATATAAAGCATAAATACAAAAGGTTTACGCCGTCACCATATGGTAAACTTTTACATAGATAGCATACAAGAAATATCGCCAAGATATAGCCTTTTTGTGCTGATGCGGCGTAAAGCAATCACCAATCAATCATACAAGAAATGTAAACATTAGATAGATTTCAAAGTAATTTTCCCTTAATATCTATTTCCAAGGTGCATAACCACATAAAAATAGTTTTATCAAATTTTATAGATTTAAAGTCTTCTGTTTATGTTTATTTCGTATTGGTAAATTTATATCTTCAGAACATGCTTACCAAATTTAAATTCTTCTTCCTCAATTTCAATGCCATATTCCTTTGGATCAACCATCGTAAATTCTGTTGTTTGATATTCTCTTTTTTCAACCTGGAAAATAAGTGATTATTGAAAGGAGATATGATATTTAGTACATAACAAACAATAATATGTGTCCATAGGAAATCATGACCTGAAAACTTAATACACTTCTACTATCATAGGTGGGGCATAAATCAAATAAAAATAAATATTTTCCTTTACAGTTTCATAAATTTGTACAATAAGCAATAAAAACAAATGACAAGATGCTTTAGTGAACTTTCTTGGTTTAAAAAAAGTTGACTTTGGAAAACAGTTGACCTGATAAATATTTTTTGTTCTTTATTTTGTGTTATATATAGTTGTTGTCATATTGATGTTTTACATCACTTTTTATTTCTATGAAACAACTTGACCAAAATACGTAACATATTCAAATATAAAGACAGATGATAAGAGTAATTCAATATGAAATAGATTCTTTCACAAGGAATAACATTTTACAAAGAGCAACCTATAGTCTTTAACAATTAATTTCTTATTCATAATACTGGTGATCAGAAAATAGATGTGCATAAATGGTCAATGAAGTGTTTCGCCTCTTATCTCTGTTTAGAATAAACATGGTAAAACATTTAAAACTATTTCATGAAAGATTAACGTTTTTTTGCTTGTAATATTTGTCACTCACAAACAAATGCCTATGTTGTGCCGTTACACATTTAATTGTTACCAGGTTAGGGGAGGGTTTGGCGCCAACAAACTAGTTTAATCCTGCCACATTCTGAATGTGCCTGTCCCAAGTAGGGAGCCTGTTATTCAGTGGTTGTCGTTTGCTGATGTGTAGTAACATATTTGTTTTTTCGTTCATTGTTTTGAACATAAATTAGGCTGTTATTTTTCTCGTACGAAGTGTTTTACATTTGTCGTTTTGGGTCCTTTTATAGCTGACTATGCAGTGTGGGCTTTGCTCATTGTTGAAAGCCGTACAGTGACCTATAGTTGTTAATTTCTGTGTCATTTTGTCTCTTGTGGAGAGTTGTCTCATTGGTAATCATATCACAAGTACATCTTCTTATTTTTATATGGATGAAAAAGATGATTTTTTAATATTTTGCAGGTAACATCTTTGAATATAAAAACAATAATAGATGATTCAAAGTACATTAATCCATAAATCAAATCTCTCTGTACTTACTTCAACTGTTCTTTTGGTTTCAGTTTTTGGCTCTTCCCTTTTAATTTCAGTTGGAAATTCTTCTTATATAAAGAACAACAAAAATGATTAATGGTCAGCATTACAAATGTGTTGTTAGTGTATAGTTATCTATGTGAAGTCTTACTCTGTATCCAAGGATACTGTCATCTTCACTAGCTAAGGGTTACCATCCAGTGCCCTCCTCTCCACCCTTGGCAGATCAAGCCAACATTTGTGAATACAATGCTGAGCCATCTACCGGTAGATTAAATGGCAGCATTTGAAATTTGTTAAGTATGGAGGCATAAAAATGGTTGTGTCTAGTGTTTACAAATTTCGTGAAGCAAGAACCGAAAATATTCATTGACATTCCACATGTTCCAACATTTACGCCAGAAACATATTCTGGAAATTCATTTAGTTTATTAAGAACTTTAAAATTCTCACTAAATATCATCCTATGTTTTAGGGGTAAAGATTTGTTGCACAATCAGCATGTGGCAATTGTTTATTTACAGTTTTTACATTTACAAGTGATAATCTTCAAGGCACTTTTTGATTGGATGCTGCCAGTTACAACTGCGACTAACGGAAATCATTCCTCGTGGATCCGAAATTCTATCTTAATCCATCAAGGGTAGAGAAGAGGGGACTGGATTGTAACATTTGGCTAGGGAAGATGGGATATCATGTATGCACATTAATACAGGATAAATAAAAAAAAAAATAGTAATGTTCATTTCTGATCAACTTCATTGTAAGCGAGTACACAAATGTATTTCTGCAAATTAAATGCTATATTTTCCGATGATATTTTCCTGAAATTTTGCATGTACATGTACATTAATGTTAATTGTTGCTGTATCAAAGGATGTCAATATTTAAATGCTCCTTAAATCACATGTAAAAGTCTATGAATAATCTTAACCCTTCAAATTCATATTTAAACAAGAGGCTCATGAGAGCCTCATATCGCTCACCTGACTGTAATTTCAGTTTCAGGCATTTGACTTATTGGTAGATCTTACTTTGCTGAACAATTTTGTCATTTACACTTTCTCTCTTTCTATAATAATATTAAAGATAATACATAACCCAAAACTGTAAAATTTCCTAAAAGTTAACTATTTCTGGACAGTAACCCAACAATAAGTTGTCCTATTGGTCTGAAGATTACTTGACAGGTAGATCTAAACCTGTTCAACACTTTCACCTATGTCAGTTTTGCTCTTACTGCTTTAGTTTTTGAGATGAAAGCCAAAAACTTAATTTGACCCCTATGTTCTATTTTTAGAAACTGCCACAAAGTTTTTGAATGGATCAAATCCCCGAATACAATCTATAAACTAGATACCTTAAGGACATTCAATTAAAGTTTTTAAGTATTTGGCAAAGTAGTTTCAGAGAAGAAGATTTTTGAAAAAGTAATTGGACTTACACAAAAAATGTTAAAAAAAGCACGTTTTAAGAGCAATAACTCCTCAAGGGGTCAATTGACTATTTTGATCATGTTGACTTATTTGTAGATCTTACTTAGCTGAACATTTATTGCCATTTATACTTTCTCTCTATCTATTATAATATTAAAGAAAATAACCAAAAACAGTAAAATTTTATTAAAATAAACTATTTCTGACAGTAACCGTACAATGGGTGGTCTAATTAGTCTGAAAATTTCATAGCAGATAGATCATGACCCATTTATCACTTAACTCTCTTTCACATTTGATCTAACTGCTGTAGTGTTTGAGCTATAAGCCAAAAACTGCTTTTGTCCCTTATGTTCTATTTTTAGCCATGGCGGCCATGTTTGTTGATGGATCAAAACTTCAGATATAATTTATAAACTAGATACCCTAAGTCCTAAGGAGCATTCAGTTAAAGTTTGGAAGTATTTGGCCCAGTAGTTTCACAGAAGAAGATTTTTGAAAAAGTCATAGACTTGCCCAAAAAAATGTAAAAAATAAATGTTTCAAGGCAATAACTCCTTAAGGAGTCAATTGACTATTTTGGTCATTTGACTTATTTGTAGATCTTACTTAGCTGAACATTTTTGCTATTTACAATTTCTCTTTATCTATTATAATATTAAAGATAATAACCAAAAACAGTAACCCTATAATGGGTGGTCCAATTGGTCTGAAAATTTCACAGCAGATAGATCTGGACTTATTCATCACTTGAACTCCATATCACTTTTGCTCTAACTGCTATAGTTTTTGAGATAAAAGCCAAAAACTGCATTTGACCCCTATGTTCTATTTTTAGCCCTGGCAATCATGTTTGTTATTAAATGGATCAAAACTTCGGATACAATTTATAAACCAATTACCCTATGGAACATTCAGTTAAAGTTTAGAAGTATTAGGCCCAGTAGTTTCAGAGGAGAAGATTTTTAAATGTTAGCAAACATGATGAACAAATTGTGTAAAATTGTCCTTAAAGGGAAAGTCCGCGATTTTTTACTTATCATCTAAATATGTTCATCTTAACATAAAAAACACATTCACAAAGTTTTAAATTTATATTCTTTTTAATAACGGAGAAAATCGAGTATTTGTAACTTTTTTGGTTGACCTACGTCACTGGGTTGTGACGTTTTAACCCGATTTGTTGAATCATGGGAAAAAATAAAATCTGTTAAAGTCTTAATTGCTTATCAGAATTTTACGTAATTAAAAGCGCACAGATGACCGTTGGTCGTAGTTAATAACCACAATATAAGAATGAAAGAAAATGAATATGTGTGTACCATTTTGTATTGATTGAATAAAACTTCCTATATGAAGTTATCTAAATATAAATATTTTCGAATTAATTTCATAAATTATTGTTGAGATTTTTTCATAAAATATCTGTTGAACACTTTGACTGATATTAAACTGAAAATATTTTACGTTTTATTTACCGTTATAACTTTGGTAACCATTTCAAGGCAAAATATTTGTGAACAGAGTGTGTATATTATTTTGTAAAGTCATTGTTTATTTATCGATTTGAGGAGAATTCCTTTGAACTTTACCTTGCAGCAATTTAGCCTCAGGCGTACACAGGTGTGAATTCAAGCGTACACAGGTGTGAATGTTGTCATTTTGAATGGATTAACAGAAAGAGTATAGCGTGTTTAATACACCAAGCTGAAATACCCGATGACAATAGAGAAACAATAATTAAAATGTGTAAATTAATTGAAAATAAACATTCATTTTTTTTAATTCCGGAAGTGTATTTTGAAATGGAACAATTTTCGATTACGCTCTATGCAATTAGCATAAAATTAAAATATGACGTTAAAAGAAAATTAATTTAACATTTCCCAATAAATAATTGCACATCTGTTTAATTTACTTTACCGGAATTCTTTAACTTGTATTTAAATCTGGCGATTTTTAATTACTAACAATCGTAAAACTATCGCAATTTAAAAGTTTTTATTGAAAAAATACAAAAGTACAACATGCATGATTTTTAATCTTCTTTTTAAAATTTCATTCCTACATAATAAATTCAACTAACAATCTCTTAGAATAATTATTTGTGAAAAGAATGCCAATTATCATTTATTTCATTCACTATAAATCTAAGCTATTAAAATAATTGTTTATTCTGTCTGGAAATTTTTATTTTCTTTTTTTTTTCTTTTGATCTGTTTTTTGTTTGAGGTGTTCTAATTGTCTTTAACGGTTTGAACATATGAAAAATTAAATATAATCATTTTTATATTATATTATAATTTAGTGTAATACTCTACAGGGTAGCCGTCATTAATCCAAAATAGTAATTGTAGTAATTAATGGCATAGCTTAGTAATGTATTGCTGACAATGACGATTTTAGAACAGTTCGTCTCCTTGAAACAAGCTGTACTAGTATACTTTTCCTGAGGTATAAGCGCCGTTGAAGACGAGCTCAAGATGTTCTTTCTAAAGGACAAAGCAGACTAATAGCGTATCGTTCGTTTGTTTGTTGGGTCAGGGGAGGCCAACCACTTGCCCAGAAAAACAGAATCACCATACAAGCATAGTTGTCAACACTTTCGGAAAAGAGTTCCTATCGTCGGATGGGGTACACGAATGCTTCCAAGAATGAATAAGTGACATGTCTGACTCTGAACAGTCAATAAACGAACTGAAAAATGATCTACAGACATCGACCTCTTATTCTTGATATCATAAACTGCATGCATGTACGTTTATGAGAGCGATTATTTATCTTGTACCTGACGAAAACTTAATGCTTGCATGGTTATGTATCTTGCTATACGTTTTTATTGGTTTGGTGTGTGTTCACTCAAAATCGTAATTCAAAGATAATGTTTGTGAGATGTAATTTCACTTCTCAATACCGAATTTCTTCTATATATTTCACAAGTGTATACCACTAAGAAGCTCTGATTGTATATAATTCCTTTTTTTTTTGGTGTGGACCATCGTTGTTAACAGCAATATTTGATGAAGCAGATGATGATAGTAGAAAGCAATATGAGCGTATTATTTATCTTGTGTCTGACGAAAACTAAATGCCTGCATGGTTATATCTTGCCATTTTGTATTGGTTTGGTGGGTGTTCACTCAAAATCGTAATTCAAAAATTGTGTTTGTGAGATGTAGATTCACTTCAATAACGAATTTCGTCTATATATTTGTGACAAGTGTATACCACGGAGAAGCTCTAAAGGTATATTACTCCCATTTGGTTTGGGTGTGAACCATCGATGTTTACAGCAATATTTAATGAATTAGATGATGATAGCAGAAAGAAATATGAGCGTCATGTGGCAGATATTACATAAATGTCGGACTACATGTATGAGTTATCTATCTCTATGAAAAGATTTCCAATACAACCATATTGAGTAGGATTTTTACATGCTATACTCGAGTCGTACTAGTATACAGGCTTCTCATGTCGCCGTTTGACTCAGACACACATCTTTTACTTTAAGATGTATGAAAGATTCTATATATATATTAAATGTAACAATAATGAAACGCCTACAGGCAATAACTAAACGGGTATGAAGTTTTTATACAGATTTATTCTTATTTACATAATCATTAACAAACTAAATAAATTGAACAAAGAAACACAGTGACACTACGATATAACAAACGGGATACTTAATTATTTTTAACCATGCTATGCAGAAACTTAACACATCAAGTTAGCGCACGTGAATACCAATTTGGAACACGATGTGTGATTTTGTATAAAAATATCAAAGCGAGCAGTAACTTTGTCTAGCAAACATTTTTTTACTATGCCTCTCTTTATCTTGTTTCCTTTACAATTACTATTAGCCTTTTCTTCGATCATTCTCTATGTAGTATAATTTTCTCTAATCGGTTTTTTTTTTCACTATGCCACTCTATCTCCGTTCCTTTACACTGACTGTTTCCCCTGTCGTTCTAATCCGTATAAAAATAGGGACATTGTACATAGAAGGAGCTCTCTTATCGTCAATAAATAAATATTTGATACTGACTATAAGTGTTGCATTACTTTATACTGCATGTTTGCCAATCGTCAAAAGCTTGCATTTGCGTGAAGAATTTTTTTTCAAAAGAAGGGTCCAGAATCATGACAAAACAGTATATGTATTTTACAAATTTTTTTAAAGATCATGTTTATAAAATTTTTAAACTTATTATCAGCTAAAGTAGTGGATAATATTATTATCAGAACATCATTCATTAACAGGTGGAATTATAATTTCAAACACAAACAAGATAAATAACGTCGAACACAAATTTATGTGGTTCAATAAATGTTACCTGTGCACGTCGGGTACCTCAATTAAGAAGCCATGCATGAACCTGTATAATATATTGTGTAATAGGAATTTTTAGTCGACAGGATGTCACTGGAATAACCAAGGACGTGTATCTAATATACGTCCTTGGGATAACTAACTGAATGTGTCGCTCTGACACGACATCTATCAATAATTCTGACATACCTTTTATCAATTCGGGAGGAAGCCAATATATATATATATAATAAGATAACGTATATAAAATTTAAAAAGAAAAAAAAAATATACATTTTTTTCCAAACATACCAGATAGGGTCACACATTTAACTGTAAAATGTCTTTATAAGTGACTGTTCCGAATTGATCCCGTATAAATTTGATATAGTTAAAAGATTAGTTAAAAAACTTTTTTGATAAAAAATTGAGATGTCCAATATTTCGATATTTACATTTCTATAACCTGGGAATATTATACCATATCAACATATTTTGTCTTAGCTAAAACCTCTTCCTAACATTGCTCCCCGTCAATATCCGTTAAATATCATAATTTAAAAATGTTATTTATCGTATAACTTTATTAATTTGAAAAATGATCTTGACTAAATACGGAACTATTCTTTATATAAACCAAATGCAATGCACTTTATATAAATGAATCTTTTGTAAATCAGTGATTGTTACAAGAACACTGCATTTGTCTTTCTTTTAATTGAAACTTTTCTTCCTCATCAAATCTATATTTTTTTAATCAACGAGATCTTATCATATAAGGATTTGATAACTACAGCTATCAGAACTGCTAGGTTATTTTGTTATTAAAAAAGGTATAATTACCATCAAATCTTCCTCGAAACAAGATTGTTCAAAATGGTCTTCACACATCAACTTGTGCTTGCTATAGATCATAACTATTTTCTTTTTTTGTGGGTTTGGGAAAACTATTTAGACTTTTGTCATAACCTTGTCGGACAGAACAACCGTACGCTTGATAAGACATTTTCACAATGAGTGATCATCTACGGTAATCCCCGATTGATGATGGGAGTTTTTAACGCACGGTCGGTAAATCCCTGATTCATTTTGGTCTTTGTGGTTTATAGATATCACGTGACTTTTTAGATCGAACATGCCGACAAGATGGCGATATGTCGAGAACTGATAGTGAATTTCAAAAATCGATTTTGATCTCTTTTCATAGAGAATAAAAGTTTTTTATTTATGAACATGTGGTTTTTTATGCTTAAAGAACAAAATATCAATTTTTCATTTTTTTGCGGAGTTTCCCTTTAAAGGGCAATAACGCCTTAAGGGGTCAATTGACAATTTTAGTCATATAAAACTTTTTTGTAGATCTTACTTTGCTGAACATTTTTGCTGTTTACAGTTTATCTTTATCTTCAATAATACTCAAGATAACTAAAAACTGCAAATTTCCTTAAAATTACCAATTTAGTGGCCGCTAAAACTTAGCTGAACAATGGGTTGTTCGATTTGTCTGAAACTTTCAGGGCTGATAGATCTTGACATATTGAACATTTTTACCCTGTCAGATTTGCTCTAAATGCTTTAGTTTTTGAGATATAAGCCAAAAACTGCATTTGACCCCTATGTTCTATTTTTAGCCAAGGGGGCCATGCTTGTTGATGGATCAAAACTTTGGATACAACTTATAAATTAGATACACTAAGGAACATTCAGTTAAAGTTTGAAGGTATTTGGCCCAGTAGTTTCAGAGGAGAAGATTTTTTAAATAGTTTACGACGATGACAACGGACGCCAAGCGATGGCATAAGCTCACATGGGGCCCTTTGGGCCCCGGTGAGCTAAAAAGGAAATATTTCCAATAAAATGCAGTCTTGTAGTAACCTGTCTGCTGTTTGCAGTTCTTAACAATTACAGATACTGAAATTTACAATTCGTTTTAAAGATATATATATACTGGCATATTAAAATAAAGAGAGGTGGTATGATTGCCAATGAGACAACTATCCACCACTGACCACCAGAGTTCAAATGACGTAGATTTTAGCAACTATACAATGTTGGTCATTGCATGATTAAAACAAATTTAGTCTGGCAATTGATATAGGCCTATCAACAAATATGACATTGACTCTTGTACTGCTTAGCTACCATCAGGGTTTCCGTTGGCGGTTGCCATTTTCGCATTTTGTGAAAAAATAAAAATTGTGGCGATTAAAATTCATTATTGGCAAAAGAATTTGGCCAAAAAAAATATAACGGTTCGACTTCGTCCATTGTTTACTTTTTTCGGGTTACTCAGTTTTTTCACGGTTACTCAGACTTTTTCCCTGATCAGACAATACTGAGAATTCACCTTGAACTCGTTACAATTTTGATAGAAAATCAATAATCAGCTGATTGCATTTTATACCTCATTTTTGTACCTATCGGCAACAAAGTATTATAATTAATACAGATGTAAATTGTATTGTTTCATGAAATGATGTGGTTAATTGGCTTCACATGACATTTAAAGGATTTGTTTACAACTTTGATTGAAATAATTGTTTTGAAGAGAATACTTTACTGGCTTCACATGTCATTTAAAGGATTTGTTTACAACTTTGATTGAAATAATTGTTTTGAAGAGAATACTTTACAACGTTTTAGCGACGCACGTGTTTGAAGCATATTTTACGTCTGTTCTTGGTCTGGGTAAAAAACTGTTGTTATGACGAAAAATGTTCAAAAGTAAGAAAAATCTCTGACTTTAAATTTTATCCTATAACTTTTGATAGAAATAATTTTTGAAGTCGGTAATTTACAATCGTTTTAGCGACGCACGTGTTTGAGGCATAGTTTTACGTCCAAACTTTTCTTTTAATGATGGTCTGGAAAAGAAAACTATTGTTAAGAAGAAAAATATTCAAAAGTAAGAAAAATCTCTTTATTCTACAACTAGACGGGAAGCACCTTATTAACTATCATAGATGAATCCCGTGTTCCCCGGCAGAAGTTAAAAATTATGATTTCATGATCTATATTGCAATTTTACAGTATCTTTTAAAAACTAAATGTTTGTTATTATTGAGTGTTTATTCATTAAAAAAATATTAAGAATTATAAAAGATATAGTTAGTTTTCTAGTTTGAATTGTTTTACATTTGTCATTTCGGGGCCTTTTATAGCTGACTATGCGGTATGAGTTTTGCTCTTTGTTGAAGATTGTACAGTGACCTGGTAACTTCTATGTCATTTGGTCTCTTGTAAACAGTTTTCTCATTGGCAATCATACAACATCTTCTTAATTTTATATAACAATGTGACTAACTGATTTTTTTTGTTAGAAAGAAGGAAAATTTTAAACGAAAAATAAATTTATATTATTGGCGAAAAAAAAATTGAAAGTGGCAAAAAATGTTGTTTTGGCCAAAAAGATGGGGAAAAAGAAAATTGACCCAGGGAAAACCCTGACTACCATATTCTGACTTTAGTTTTTAATTTTTTTATGTAGTGTTGTGTCTTTTCATCGTATTTGTTGATTTTTAATTATTTTGTTGGTCTCTTTTCAACTTGTGGGTTTTAATATCTTTTGCTCTTTTTTCTTCTAAAGCTTTAATTTTACAAATGTTTTATTTGGATGGAAAAATAAATATAAAACAAATTGCATCTTCTTGTCATTCAAAATATCAAAATTGAAATAAAGTAAAAACAAAACATTTTGTATATATTTACCTTGTGGTGGTGTAACAATAGGTTTTCCTGTTTCATTCTCAACTGCTGCTGACTGCTGCTGACTTTCTACTGAAACTGAAGGTTTCCTACTATCAGGTTTACTGTCCATCTTCTTTTGCCTCTTACGATCTATAAACATCAATTTTCAAGTTATTATCATGTCCATTAATTTTAATTCCATTTAATATAGGTTTAGATTTATAATGTCTACACAAGTGCTGCTTTTTCAGCACACATTAATTATATCAATTTTAAATAAGACCAAAGGAAGTTACAAGTTCCCTAGAAGTAAAGGAAATTGTTGATTTACTGAAAATGGCAATCTCCTATCTTCTTCAAAAATATTATCTAATCCATGTTGTGTTATTCACAACTGATAAAATTATAAGTGATATGATATTACATTAACAGATAAAGGAGTGTTTTACTTTGAAGCCATTAGATGACAGCTAAGCAGATTTGAACGTAATGCTTTTGGCTATCAGCTGCCTGTCTGCAACTTATAGAAGTTATCAATAAAAACTACTGTAATGACACATGCACTGGTTGGAATAATTTATATCAATATACATGTATACATATAAACCCCTCCTGTTACACATGTATATACCTTTTTTCTTTGGATCTTCTTCCATTCTCTATGTTACAAAAAATGTTCGGCAATTCAAGCTAAATACAGCCTCAAATGACTCAATTACCAACTCTACAAAAGAAATGTAAGGTTTAGAATTACACTTTATAGTTTGTTTAAAATAACACTTAATAGTGAGAAATCTCCTCATTTTCAAACGCATACAGTTTTTAAATCAAATTTCAACCTTTTTTCTCAGTAAGAACTGTACAAATCTATCTACCATTGTCTACTGTGCACAGATGTTATAAAAGTAACTATGTGTCTGAACTTTGTATTTGTCACACATACAAGGAGAATCAGATGTGTTTAAATATAGACAAAGTCATTGACTGCTTTGTTCTAAAGAAAGACACTCACTGACAGAAGACTAGCTTTTCTCTTTAAAATTCATGACTAGTTTGTGTGTGACTTTATCATCAATGATCATATATCATTTACATATATCATGTATATTCTCTTGTCCAATTTTAGTTTTCGTCTAGTTTATTGTTCTTTTCTGAAATGTAATATACATCCAATTCAAAAAATGGTCTGGCTAATTTTAACCCAATAAGATGTTGTGATTATATAATCCTCTGGTACTGGTCTATTCAAGATATATAGTCATACAGTTTCAACTCCCACGACGTGCATCGAGTTCTCAATACACCCAAACTTTTATCATTAAGCCCAGAGTACGCTGTTAATTTCCATCTTTTTAGCCTTAAGCACCAGCACAAAATGCTTAATGATTTTGAATGTTTTGGTGGAACGTTGTTTCATGAACATATATCATGTATATAAAAATAAGGAGATATCTGGTTAATATATCAAAAATAAGAAGATAGATGTGGTAAGAACGGAAATGAGACAACTCTCCACCAGAGACAAAATGATGTAGAAGTAAACAACTATATGCCACTGTACGGCCTTCAACAATGAACAAAACCCTTACAGCATATATAGAAAGCTATATATAAAAGGCCCTGAACTGACAAATGTAAAACAATTCAAACAAGAAAGCTAATGGCCTGATTTATGTACAAAAACAAACGAATATGATACACAACAAAAAACAACAACCACTGAATTCCAGGCTCCTGACTTAGGACATGTACATACAGAATGCAGAGAGGTTAATCATGTTTGCTGGAACCAAACCCTCCCTCTAACACGGGACAGTGTTATAACAACTAGTACAAAATCAGAAAAAAACTATCACAATCAGTTGAAAAGGGTTCAAAAGTTGTGTTTAAGAACGCCCTGAAAAGTACTCGAGCATGATCAGAATGCAGGATTTTGCCCCATTTTTGATTCAGCTTCTGAGGGGCCTAGACCCCTGCCTAGTACTAGCTTCCACAAGTTTACTTAATTGCCTTGCTACGACATCGACTCCAGTTGGGTATTAAAATAGACGTTTTATCAATTAAAAAAACGACCAAAAACCTTATTGACAGCGGATTTTTCGTTAGTCAGCTTTGATTTCCTTTAAATTCCTTTCTGATTTGGCCATCCAAAGTTGGCAAACTGCCAAGCACTATCATTACTTTATTCAGGGGCCAAGAGCTATAATACAATAAAAAAAACATTTACTGAGACTATTTGTCTAAATCATTTGTTATGTCAATATGATTTCCTTGCACTTACTTTAAATGTACCAATCGAAAATTTCAGCGCACTGGCTCCTATTTCCTACTCGGCCATTTCTAAACAACTGTGACGTCAATGGAAACCAGTACATTATACGGTAATATCAAGAAAAGTTCCGAATGTTTACAGATAAAAACTATAGGTGTGTTTGGATATTAGACCTGAAGTATCCTATGGTTATGTTGCAGACCTGGAGATACAAGTAATAGCTTTTTCTAAAAAGCTAGCCGTCTTTAGCTGATGAAAATGGAATATGTTTTCGCTTTGTAGTTTAATTCATTCAGAATGGCCTTATATATAAATTGTAGTGGATTATAAAACTTATAAAAGGCTTATACAATTTTTTAGATTCACCAATATCTTTTTTGGGGGAATATATTTACACAGGAAACGGAGGGGTAATGTCTTATTCATCTGCGTTTGTACATTTTTATCGATTATTTTATTTTTCAAACAGATATGTTGTTCGTTTACTTTTTCTTTGGTTGTTTGCATATTTCTAAGTTGTCTTAGAAAAGTATGACCGCTTCCACCTGTTTTTATACGACCGCAAAAATTTTTGCGGTCGTATCAGTAGGACAACCGGATGTGCCTTTTTGGCCAAAATGTGATTCGGCGGCGCTCAGTAGTCCTACGCCGAAAATTGGACTATTTTGCGTCGACCGACGTCAACTGAAAAATGGCGCGCTTTTGTAATGTTTTTTCGTTCGTTTGCTGCAAAGTACCGACGATAAATATTGTTGATTGTAAGCAAATCTATATGAGAAAAATATATGAATTTACATATTATTTTCTTTTTTGAACATTAAAATAAAAGGCAATCTTATTTTTTTATATCTGAACTTATAATTTCGGATATTGATTTTCTGCACTGTAGGATAAAATGCCTATATTAAAAATGGGAACAAAAAAATACCTATCCTTCGATTTAAAAAAAATTTGTACATCATATTCTCGCTAGTTTTTGGCATCGAAATTCGTAAAGAACGTGAGTGTTCAAGCCAGGGCAAAAATTTGTTCCCATTTTAATGTAGGGGTCGCAATTTTTTATAGGTTTTTCCTTGCATGGTCGGTAGATTTAGAAATTGGAAGAGTTTCTGTTTTTAAAGTAAATATTCATTCAATTCTCATGGAAAAGTGAATCAATAGATATTAAACCCCTTTAAAAATAACAATATGTGTCAATACATTATAAAATAATAGATTTTTTTTCGAAATTGAAGAAGGCGCCATTTTCGTCTTTTTATCTATTTCGTCAATTGGTCTGCTACAATTATTAGCTGTTTCTAAAAAATCTCCGCCTCGATTTTTTTTATACTTTCATATAATTATCTTTGGTACTTAATGTATATGTTATGAAAAAATTAGGCACTTCTATCGAGTAGAAATCGAGAACGGTTATCTTTATTTTGTATGTTCCCACTATGGGGGCGTGGTCCTCCCTAAACCTTGTTTCTGGAGTACACGATAGCTATTCTTCTCTCCAAAATAATTATCCACTAAAATTTATTGAAACATAACAAATATATTTTAAGTCATCAATAAATTCTAACTGCTAGAGATTTTTAGAAGCAGAATTGCCGGAATCGACCTCAACCGATGTTGTGTCAGTATATTATATATACTAGACCAACGTTGTCAATTTCCGGCGCCGAAAATGTCAACGTAAATGTCATTAAACGTTGGATTCTTTACTTCTTTGTAGCAATTGTTTTATCTGATTGCCAAGGAAGTCATGCGATATGTTGAATTCATATCAACGTTATACCAAAACAGGCCGAGCTTGGCAAACTAACAGTTTTAGGCCTACATCATCATGGGATTGATTTGTTGATATCGTACTTCGTTGATCAATCCATATTTATTTCGTGAATATTTTGTTAGATCTTGTTAGTATGTTACCGGCCGATGAGTTTTTAATGAACATCTAATCTGAATAGGCCATAGAAAAGCTATCGGGTTTTTTTCATAAGTTTCCTTTCGTTAATACAGTAATCGTTATGTGTTTTGTTTTGTTTCTTTTTTGGAAAAAGGGGGGGGGGGTAATTTTGTCAAAGGCATGTGTCATTTTATTGATTCTAAATATCTTAATTTCTGGTTTGCAGTGTTGGTTAAAACTCTTCATGACTTTACTTTTTAAAAATTTAATGTGCAGTTTCTTAGGGCATTGGTATAACATGTACATGTATAATGACTATTAGACTAGTATTAATATATCTATGCATATGGGGAGGACCATTTGCTATTCTAGGTAGGTGGTGGGAAGGGAATCCTGGTCTGTTCGCACTAGTACTTGTTCGCTCTGGGTCCTGTTACCAATTCGCCCTGTTCTTTTCTTTTATTTTGTCTTGTTTAATCACGAACATATATTGACAGATATACTGTTCCCAGGTTTAATGTAAATTAGTTGAATGAAGTATGTAAAAGAGGGACGAAAGATACCAGAGGGACAGTCAAACTCAAAGATCGAAAACAAACTGACAACGCCATGGCCAAAAATAAAAAGACAAACAGACAAAGAATAGTACAGATGACACAACATAGAAAACCAAAGACTAAGCAACACGAACCCCACCAAAAACTGGGGGTGATCTCAGGTGCTCCGGAAGGGTAATGTAAAAGTTTGTTGACAATTTAGTGAATAAACTGCATAAGCCATAAGTTAACGTGTGAGGTAGTAGGATTTTTTTTTCTGGATTATTTGCATCCATTGGTACACATGCTTTTCTTTCTAAATGTATTTTCACTTTTGCATACTCACTGATGCAGAATATTCATTTTCAGCCTCTATTGTGTCATGTTATTTATGGACCTTTTATACATGTAGCTTACTATGCGTTATTGGTTCTGCTCATTGATGAAGGCTGTCAGAAACCTATACATACATTTTTTAACCTTTTCGTCATAAGGTATCTGGTGGAGAGTTAATTCATTGTCTCATTGGCAATCATACCCCAACTTCTTATTTTTATATTGGAACTGTAATCAAGTCTTAAGCAGGCAAACTGAAAGGGAACTGTAGTACCTTTAATAAATAACTACTGAAAAACAAGAGTGCACACGCTGAAATGTCTCACCTTCTTTTCTAACCATTGATTTTATGTTGATAGTCCTAAATATAAAGCTTTACTACAAGTAACACATAAACTTAACAAGATCCAAGAAAATGAGGTCAAGGTCAGATCAACCAAATGAGAAATACATGTACACCTTACAATCATTCAATAATACAAACATAGTTGACCTATTGCTTATAGTTTCTAATAAACAGTCTTAACCAAGAAAACTTAACATTGACCAATGAACCATGAAAATGAGGTCAAGGTCAGATGAACCATGCCAGACAGACATGTACACCTTACAATCAATGTATGCATTAAATATAGTTGACCTATTCCTTATAGTGTCTAAGAAACAAACTTAACCATGAAAACTCAACATTGACCAATGAACCATGAAAATGAGGTCAAGGTCAGATGAACCATGCCAGACAGACATGTACACCTTACAATCAATTTATGCATTAAATATAGTTGACCTATTCCTTATAGTGTCTAAGAAACAAACTTAACATGAAAACTTAACATTGACCAATGAACCATGAAAATGAGGTCAAAGTCAGATGATACCTGTCAGACAGACATATACACCTTACAATCCTTCCATACAACACATATAGTTGATCTATTGCTTATAGTTGAAGAAAACAGACCAAAACACAATAAAATGCTCCGCTGGGCGCAGCTTGATACGACCGCAGAGGTCGAACCCTGAACAGTTGGGGCAAGAATGGACACAACATTCAACTTTGATACAGCTCTGAATTTGGATTGTGATTAAATATTTGACACAGCATAGGTTTCTGACACAGAATGAATGTTGTCTAAGAACAGAATTTTTTTTAATTTACCTATAATATGGTCCAATATTCAAAATCTAAATACATGGTTAGATTCAGCACATCAAAGAATCCAAAGAATTCAATTTTTGATGAAATCAAACAAAGTTTAATTTTGGACCCTTTTGACCTCAATGTGGACCAATTTGATAATGGGGCCCAAAAATCAAAATACATGGTTAGATTCAGCATATCAAAGAACCCCATATATTCAATTTTTGTTGAAATCAAACAAAGTTTAATTTTGGACCCCAACTTGAACCAACTTGAAAACTGGGCCCATAATAAAAAATCTAAACACATGTTTAGATTCAGCACATCAAAAAACCCCAAGAATTTAATTTTTGTTAAAATCAAACTAAGTTTAATGTTGGACCCTTTGGACCTTAATGTAGACCAATTTAAAAAACGGGACCCAAAATTAAAAATCTAAATACATGGTTAGATTTGGCATATCAAAGAACCCCAATAATTCAATTTTTGATGAAATAAAACAAAGTATAATTTCGAGCCCCATTTGGACCAACTTGAAAACTGGGCCCGAAATAAAAAATCTAAATACATGTTTAGATTCAGCATATCAAAGAACCCAATATATTCAATTTTTATTAAAATCAAACTAAGTTTAATTTTGGACCCTTTGGACCTTAATGTAGGCCAATTTGAAAACTGGACCCAAAATTAAAAATCTAAATACACGGTCAGGTTTGGCATATCAAAGAACCCCAATAATTCAATTTTTGATGAAATAAAACAAAGTTTAATTTTGGACCCTTTTGACCTCGATATGAACCAATTTGATAGCGGGGCCCACAAATAAAAAATCTAAATACATGGTTAGATTCAGCATCTCAAAGAACCCCATATATTCAATTTTTGTTGAAATCAAACAAAGTTTAATTTTGGACCCAAATTTGGACCAACTTGAAAACTGGGCCCGAAATCAAAAATCTAACTACATGTTCAGATTCAGCATATCAAAGAACCCCATATATACAATTTTAGTTAAAATCAAATTAAGTTTAATTTTGGACCCTTTGGACCTTAATGTACACCAATTTGAAAACGGGACCAAAAATTAAAAATCTAAATACACGGTCAGATTTGGCATTACAAATAAATATGGTCAAAGATTTTACAAATCTAATGCGCCATACTGTGCAATTAAAGATTACTTCT